AATGTAGATGACAAATTGGTGTCATTCATAACAACGAAACAGAATTCACATGATATATGCGACCATTCTTGAATGAAATTAATATTACTTTAATATTACACTTTTCGAAACCATTTTTATCAATTTCCAATTTCCATTGTCTAAATTTATGTTTCATTGTTCATGTGTTGTTTCCGTATATTTTAGCCACTCGTCTTGAGTCTACCCATTTGATCCGATAACTCCCCATAAAGCAATCAAATTATATTTTCATTGCCATTCATAACTCTTAACAGACCAAATAACAGACCGGGTTTTATACATCCGACCCATTAACAAACCAGGTTTTTAATAGAAATTGATTAATATCACCAAAATACAGATTTTCGTGTAGATTTTTCACACAATGATATCAATATGTTAACAAACATAATGCCTGTCTTTTTTCGATGTTCAAAATATTGCATGCAAGTAAATTCAGCCAAGTTGTCATTTTGTGTACATTTTGTGTGTGTGTAAAATGTGTATAAATTTATTGATGAGTAACCCGCCTTTTCATTTTATTGATTGTTTATCAAAGCTAGAAAAAAAATAATTACACCACTGGATTCAGTACATTGAATTGTTTTGTCAGACATGAATAATTTTTATGATAAAAAATATATTTAAAAAGTTATACAATGAAACATACTGAACTTGCAAGTATTTTCTCGATAACACCTGATTAACAGACTTTAGCAAACCCAATTAACAGACCAACCGCCGATATAGCCGCATACTCAACATAGATTAACCGACCAATCTCTCGTTTAGCCGAGTGACGGCCGTGTATATACGTTTGTTACAAATAATTAAGAGCTGGATTGATTGATTGTTGGTTGCTAAACAAATACTAGGTAGAGGAAGCGAAATAAACTAATTATAACTTTTAGTTTGTTATCATCATTATTATAGGAAACCCAAAAATCGAAACAATAAAAGAAACGGGGAAAAACACGGTCAAGATTTTAATAAAACGATGAAAAAATAAGTTTTGACTGACAGCAAATTGAATAAGAACCACAACTGTAATACATTCATACAAATTAATAGCTTGGGATACTAGTAGACAGGTACAGAAAAAGAAAGTTACTGTTTTAGAATGTTTGTAGGGTTCAAGTCCCTGTCATGCCATTTGGGAGTAGTAAAGAACGATAAAAGTTCTTCCATTCTTACAACATGTACATGTATGTAAACAAGTGACTTCTTCACTTCGAGAGAACTAAATTAAAGATTTCAACCCCGACAATTCAAAGAAAGAAAAGACAAAGATAAACAAAAATCAGATAGATAGAAACAATGAATGACAGATTGGTAGATCGAAAGATAGATATAAACATGTAGCTACAAAGACAGCTAGATATATAGATAAAAAGAAAGAATGATTTTTTGTGGTCATTATCGTACTTGTCAGTGTACCATTCTTGTTCGGAATATGTTGATACCACACATAGTTCACACACACACACACACCTTAAAAATATCTTCAAGATATTGCGCTTAAAACAAGAAAAAAGAAAACGGAAATAGTATAACATTTAATAAAAAGTGTCAACAATTTAAACATTTAAAACGCCTATATTGAAACAAATTACATTTCGTTCTCAATTATTAGACATTTAAATAATGAAAATTTTTCAAATTTGAATATTGCACAGCAAAATGAAAAATGAAAAATTGGAGCATTTTTCATTTTTCAATATCAAATGTCAAATTGAAAAATGCTCCACGTTGGAGCATTTTTCATTTTTCAATATTTGAAGTCAAATTGAAAAATGCTCCACACTAGAGCATTTTTCATTTTTCAATATTGTAAGTTGAATTGAAAAAATGCTCCACGTTAGAGCATTTTTCATTTTTCAATATTGTAAGTGAAATTGAAAAATGCTAAAGGTCAGCATTTTCAATATTTGCTTTTAAGAATGAGATTGAAATATGTTTTGTTTTCTAAAACAAGCAAATACAAATGTTTTACTATATTTAAACTTTTGACAAAATAAAATCATTTTTAACACAAACTTATTGATATTTGTTTCAATATCTTCGTGAAATCAAAAATATAATTTCATGAAAATAACAATTTTCAAATCTCATAGAGCAAATGGTTTTTCGAAAGTGACTTCAATAGATTTTTGTTACATTTTTCAAACCAACTACCTTTAAAAGTTGCAGAGCAATTTGCAAAATCTATTTTTTATCTTAAAATGAAAAATGGTTGGCGTGAATGTACACGGACGGTACAAATTGTAATTTGTACAAAAAGTGCTTGTACAAATTACAATTTGTACAACATTTGACTAAAATTCACTTATAACTTGTACAATAATTTATAGTATGGATTTTGTAATAAAAATTGCATTGATACACGCTATAAAATTTGTATTCAATGACCACACAATAAACCTTATTTACAAAATACAAAAATACAAAATTGGAGAGAGGAAATGTGATTGATACATACATGCCATTTAATTCTGATAGTGCAATAAAAATTTGCCCCAGTGACAATTCTGATAGTATAATAGAAATTGGCCCAGTGACAATTCTTAAAGTATAATAGAAATTGGCCCCGGTGACAATTCTGATAGTATAATAGAAATTGGCCCCAGTGACAATTTTGATAGAATAATAGAAATTGCCTCCAGTGGCAATTCTGATAGTATATTAGAAATTGGCCCCTGTGAAAATTCTGACAGTATAATAGAAATTGGAACCAAGTGACAATCAGGATGACACTGATGTTGAAACACCAATCATACATGCCAGGAAGCGTGCGCTGTCTGTCCAACAGATCCAAGCCGAATATCTAACAAAGAAAACGAAACGGAAATTATCAGAACTAGCTGTGGGAGATAATGTCATTATACAAATTCCTCAGTATGATAGTGCCCCAACTGATTCTTAAAATATCTTTGGTGATATTATTGAATCTGGTGAATTTGGGTACATCATTAGAACAGCTGAAGGAATTTGAACAGGATATTTGTCGAGAAATCAAATTGACACAGTTAAAGACACATCTTTATTTGCAGCAACGGTTCCTGAGCTTCAACTTTCGCTACATGACGCAGTTAAAAAGCTATAAACACTGGTGGTCAGAGGTTTCATTCATGTTAATGCAAAGGGGGTGCAGCACTTCTAAATGTAAATGTAAAAAGCAAAGGACGTTGAGCAGTTCCCGAAGCCACAATTCACTCAAATGCTCAAACAAATATTACAGAACTATTTTGTAAATAAAGTTTATTGTGTGGTCATTGAACAAAAATTCTTTAATGTCTATCAACACTTTTTTATAACAAAATCCATACTATAAATTATTGTACAAGTGAATTTTAGTCAAATTCTATACAAATTGTGATTTGTACAAGCACTTTATTTTGTACAATTTTTTTGTACAAATTATAATTTGTACAAAATGATAACTTGTACACAACATATATTTATTCACAAATATTGCGAAATGCTATTCTCTACGAGCAATATAATAAATGGATGTGGTATGATTGCCAAGGTGAACAACTATCCATCAGAGTACATATGTCATCGTACAGCCTTCAACAATGAGTAAAACCCGTACAGTATTGTCAATTATAAAAGGCCAAACCATAAAAATGCAAAGCAATTCAAATGAGAAAACCAAGAACCTGATTGTGAATTGACATGGTGGGTAATGGATTCATATCAGGAAACTCTTACCCTGACAAATCACCCGGGCTCGCTCTTTTTGGAGTTCATGCGATTCCCTCAGTTTCTGTTTGTTGAATAAATTAAAGTTATTATGGTCAAAATCAACTATTGAACTGTTTTCAATTAGGATATCAAAGCTTTCAAATTGTGCACTTGGATGCGACGTATCTTATAGTATTGTTGGTAGGTCGGATTAGTTTTGGGTATTGTCGGTAAGGATGGAGGTGGGGAGATGTCAGTCATCTTTATATTGGGTTTATATTCGTCTGTATGTTGAGGTAAATGCTGAGCGTGTTTTGTTTTTGTTTTTTTTTATAATCAAAAGCTAATATCGAATTCTGTAGCATTCAAAACATTTTACACGATAAGAATTTTATCTAAATTGAGACCCAGTTAATTTACAAACATTGCAGCATTAGTATCCCCTTGTACTATATGATATCTATCACGTATTGTTAAGTCACAACCCAGATACACTATTTCACCAACTTCCAATTTCAGACACACGGGTAATTGTCCTAGGGGACAATTTGCCTTCTTGTTGTATGGATGATTTTTTTTTGTCTGTGTTCACGTAGAGTAATCAAAAGGATTTGATAAGTATGTAGTAACAGGTTGTTGAAAAACGCGTCTCCTGTGACCACATCAGGCGTGCAGATAATCCGTGGTTGCGAAGGCGGTATTGAATCGATGTGTAACAGCTGAAAGTGTTAATGACGTAAGCACTGAGTTCCTGGACATCTTTCTCAGCAACTGTATTTTTGTAAACATTTGTTTGGAGGTCCCAATACTATATTGAGGAGATGCCTAGATAACAGTTCGTCTTTCACGAATGCCTCCAAGACCCTTGGTAATATCTTATCATTTAATTTTGTAGTAATGCATATGGAAATTATTATTTTCGGGGTATCACGAACAATTTGGATGTTAAAGATAAACTACGCGCTTTCGCTGGTCCTTTTAATTTGTTACTTTTCGACTCTCAGCACTACACGTTCTTACTATCTTATCAAACATAACTTTATTTACTTGATTAAATTGTCCTTTGAGAAGTGTGATTGTAAAATTTAAAGTCTTCTTCTGTAATGAAAAAAAGGTAAATATGCTAGAAATAATTACTGCAATTGTTATGAGATGATCGGTAAGTAATGATTAGGGTTTCTCTCTGAATCTGAAAAGGTAGTGTACACTCTTTGATTTTAAAATGTATTAATTTGAAGGCTTTCATTGTACTAATTTAAATTGATTATGCAATGGTTTTCAATTTCATAATTGGTTATCATTGTACTTTTCAGTAACAACAGAAATTAACATAATAGACGCAGAAGTTCGTTTAATTGATAAATATGAAACTACAGTTGTCTCTCCAGACAATGTGACTTCTCCCAGATTAGTACCAAAGAAATGGACTAATAACCAGTTACTTGATACGCTAAAATTTTCCCTAGGAGCAATCTATAAAATCACTGCAACTATACCCAAGTTTGGAAAACATGTTGAAGTCGGAAAAACCGAAAACCTTTCACATTTTGTATCCGACTTTGATTATGGTATTATATTTGGAACAATGAATGCACTATTGATAAGAGGTAAATATATGATAGCAAGGAGTTCAATGCACTTATTTATTAACAATTAACTTATTACATTTTAATATGGATTGATATATTGATTGGTGTTGAACGCCACTCTCAGCCCTATTGTGCTATTTCTTGGCGGTAAGTTTTTATTGCTTGAGGAAGCCGGAACGAGGCTCTCGCATTATTAGACAAAATCGTTGTAGTTACAATAACAAGTATGTCTCGGGCAAGCCTTATCTCCTGAATTTCGGATACTTTTGTTTCAAAATGATTTACTTAAAACGACTATATTACACTACTTCATCAGAAAAAACGAAATGGCTTCAAACAAAAACATTAACGGTACCAATGTTTCTGCACCAGACGCGCATTTTGACAGCCAATGTCACTTCAGTGAATGTCGGGGCCAAAATATTTTAAAATCCAAAACTTATTTAAATAAAGAAGAGCTTATAAACCAAAATAATTAAGTTCACTTTAAAAAAAAACTTGATTATTAAAAAACATGATGAGCGTCAGATAAGAACTTTAAATATATATATTGTCGAGTGTCATAAACCATAAAATTTCATTTTTAATGCACCTACCTAAAATACGGCTAAATCATATATAATTCGAAAGCATATCATCTGTGCTATCTCTTTTTGCCCGGTCGTCAAATATTCGTATGGTGCAATTTCTGTCAAATTACGATGAAAGGTAAAGGACGGACAATTCTTATTTTACAAGACGTCAATATTTTTGCATATTCGGTAATCTAAATAATAAAATTCTGTATGAAAATATGAAAAACTTTTAGAACAGAGACTATTAGTCAATTGTTAAACGCACTTTAAAATATTAATGATGTATATTGAATAAATAAACCTTTTTCCTGAAATGTCGCTGTAAAGAATAAAATTGAGTGAAAACCAAAATATTTGTCTGTGATTCAATTGTTATTCACCATAAAACCAAATAACATATTTCATTTAGTGCTACGGAAGTTTTTGACATCATAAAATTACTGCAATCACGCTATTTTTTATGTAGTAACTGTTAGGTTGAAGAAACACATTTAAAAAATGTTTGAAGGAAATATTACGCTCGTGATGCATGCTTTTAATTTTTATTTTTTTTTGTACATTAATTAGGCAGTTATTTTCTCGTTTGAATTGTTTTATATTTGTAATTTCGGGGCCCTTTATAGCTGACTATGCGGTATGGGCTTTGCTCATTGTTGTAGGCCGTACGGTGACCTGTAGTTGTTAATATCCGTGTCATTTGGTCTCTTGTGAAGAGTTGTCTCATTGGCAATCATACCACATCTTCTTTTTTATATTTTAAGGGTAATTTAGGGAGCTAAACTTTGATATTTCAATATGTAGTTTAATTGTCAACTTGTTTAGTTCTTCTGTCTTTTCTCGTTTTTTTGTTTATAATTTCATGATTAACACTAAAAGAAATAAAGGACATTATATATAAATATTAGGTACGCCCCAAAAACCTAAATAAATAAAGAGATAATTACATAGTTAGAAAGCTAATTAATGTTAAAACAAAAGTTGAATTTCAAATATTTCTATTCTAACAATTAGAAAATTTGTTTTCTTGGTTGTTTCAACTGAATCATGCATTGACAATAAAAGTAAAAACTTTTATATTCTAGACACTGAAAATGTTCGTTGTGCTTGTCTGAAATAAGAGCCCTATCAAACTACGTAATTTTCTAGTAAAAAAATACATGTTGCAGCTACATGCAGTTACATGTTGTGTTTGTTAAAACCTTTCGGAATTTTGGGCCCTCTATGCTCATAAACTTTGTACTTTATTTGGCCTTTTCACCCGTTTTATTTCGAGCGTCACTAATGTGTCCTTTGGGGTTCGTGTTGCTCAGTCTATAGTTTTCTATGTTGTGTTTTGTGTCCTTTTGTTTGTCTGTTGTTTTTTTAACCATGGAATTGTCAGTTTTTTTCGACATATTAGTTTGAATGTCCCATTGGTATCTTTCGCCTCTCTTTTTTAAATCGAGCGTCACTGATGAGTCTTTGTTGAAGAAACACGCGTCTGGCATACAACATTTTCAGCCTAGTATCTACGAGGAGTTTATTTATATCAGCTTACACTCTATGTGTTTTGATTTGAAAATTGTAGCAATTTGCAATAATAATAGCTATAATTAGAATTCCGAAATAGTTCAATTATTGCATAAAGAATAAAAACCTATAAAGAGGGGAATTATTGTGTAGATGTCACAGCAACAATTCAACCAATTATCACCAAGAACGTTTTATAAAAGAAGGCAACCACTGCAAAACATATTCAGCACTTTTCATATTTCTGTGTTAAGCCCTTTGTTGTTGACTTCACAAGGATGGTTTAGCGATTTTTAAAATTCTATTTTCAAATTAGAGAAGAACTAGGTTAATTATATTTGCGTTTGTTTGTTTTCTTATTACAAACGTCGCGTTAACAAATTGGTTGCCAAAAACTAGTTGGTTTGAAGTAAAGTGTTTTCCAAAACTAAATTATAAGGAAACCCCTAAAACTTTATCCAAACAATAACATGAATAAGTAACAACGGTTTGGTTTTACATTCCAATGCTTTGCATGCTATTATCTGTTCGTTTGGTTTCCTAATGGTGCGGAGTTATCATAACTGCAGTAAGTGTCTGATATTAGTTGACTTAAAAAAACCCATACAATATGGTATGTTTAAAAATTCACCAACTCAATTCATTTTAGAAGTTTTTTTCAATCTTTACTTAATTCCACAGTATCAGAGTTTTACTTGCACATGTTCTAACAACACAATTCTATATTTTTAAACATGTAACCGAATTATTAGTGCTGTGTGTGGCTAGAAACTGCAATTGTAATATATGAAATGCTTTATTAAACATCAATAATTACATTCCAAGCAAACAAAAAAGTAAAATCGAACGTAAACTATGCATCTAATTTCAGGGACAAACCAATTACGAAACAGTTATATTGCATCATTCGAATCATCAATATTTACTTTTACTGTCGCACAATGAAATTTTTATGGACATATTATATTACTCTTCTGTAATTGTTATATATAAATTTTAATATAAATGATTTCGTCGTCTGTAATTTCACAGAATATTTCGAAAAGAAGAATGTAGATTTGAGCCCTTCCAATTGTATGCCATCGTCCAATTTAAATTGTTTTATCACAATTATGGATTTCCTTGATACAAAACTTAACAAAAACGATTTTGCAATTATGCACGAAATTTATTCTGAAAAGCAATGGAAAGCTGTTGGATATTATTTAATAGATTTAAAAAAAACCAAGATTGTTTCTTTATGATTCAAATTCTAATTAATGTTCCGATTTTGACTTCCTTATTTGACCAAATGCATGACAAACGTACTGCTCCAACAGAGTTACTAGAAAGATCGATTGAATCGACATTAAATGGTTAACAGATACGATTTGTCGGTATCTAAACTTATTAGCGACATATTTTCTTTCAAAGTTAAGACTTTCAAAATTATGTTATTTTTTGTTGATTAATATACAGGTTGATTTAATCTGGACACTTCAGTTCAGAAATTTCACGTGTGATATCACCATGACGTCATAAGAATGTCGAGATTGACATATGTGATAAAAAAAACTTTTTATAACTAGTTTAAAAAAATATAGGTATATATAGGTACATAAGATGTGAGCAAACGCCTCACCCAAAAAGAAATTCGACACATTGAAATCTTTGTAAAAGTTTTATTTTATAGTAAAATATCTTTCTGGGTAAAGTTTTGACAGTGTTAATGCCAGTGACTCAAACTGTAGGTAACTCGGCACTTTTTGGCAGTTGTGCAGTACATTTAAGCAATTTGAAGTCTTCGTGCAAATACGTAAGACACAATTTAAACTATAAAATCTGCTAGACTAAAGTTTCATAAACATCTGAAGGATGGTTTTTAAGAGATTGATAGTACTTCTTGATATTCGAATTCAATGGTCCAAATTACGGCCTTATCATACCTTCTCTTTTGTCATTTACATGCATATGACCTTCAAATGACACCAACAACATACATTTCTGCACTGAAGCGTCAAAATTATATCATTCTATTTGTTTATAAGAAAAGAGACGGAATATACACAGGATCATCAAAACTCTTACGTCGACAGAAACTGACAATGCTTCGGGAAAAATCAAATGTTGACAAAAATACAAAGAAGTTCACAAAACACTGAAAAGAAAACAAACTAAAGACTGAGTAACAAGGTCCCTATGTGAACTAACGTTGATCTCATGTGGTCCTTCATGGGTCAGCAGAACATGATCCACTAGTGGCATCCATCGTGTTGCTCTCTGTAAGTACAAATACGACGATGAGTCTCATTTGTGATGTCAAAATCTAGGAAAAGATCACGGACTGGGGTAACTACAATTGGAACATATTCGTGGTTATCTGTGAAACAGATATTCCATAATTTTACCAATTGGAACACTTGGTTCAAATGCTACCTTGTACATTTCTAAGCAGCAAACCTCTATTAGGGAAATCATGATAGGAAACGCAGAGTCTGGAGAAGTGCATACTCTATTTGCAGGAGGTGATGGAATGTTTCTACATTGAAATGGAAAATTCACAAGTGGACAGCTAAAATCCTCCCTTTTGTTATAAAGTTTTGTTTTCAACCGACCTGCATCGTTTATTTCTAGAATGGTTCATATAATTTGAAATGATTCACATAATCGAATCTTTGAAATAAGATATAATGATTCATGACACCAAACACGTCCAGTAAAATAAACAATATGAGCAATTTACAAAACCCAATGTTGAGGGCAAGTTGCCATCAAATTAAAAATAAATTGCTGAAAAGGGTCATTATTGACGCTTGTCATACATATTAGATAAGAAAAACAAAGACTCTTTTTTGTAACGATGCATTTTAGTCAAACATCTCGGATTTTTACAGCTTCTAACCCTATTATAAAGTCATTGTAAGAAACAAAAGTGGAAACACTTGAGTTTCTAGACTCTGTATAATTATGTTGAGAAAGTATTTGGATCGTTTTATACCGTAGGTCATTCCAAAAATATATTTTAGAAAATGAAAACATGGAATCAGTTTTTACAAATAAAAACTGTAACAGTAGCTGTCATCGAGATGCACCTTGTCCTGTCAATTCATTGTACCGCTGTGAAAGTGGTGATGTATCAATAGCAGAGTTCCATCCCTTTAAGCATAATGACCGGTAAGTGGTATCTCCGTTGACTATTTTCTTCTTTTCTGTTTTCACATTTTGAATTTCTTTCTTATCATTTATTTTAAAACAGACAACAGGTCTATTTCTTTAAATATGATAATGACGATCGTATAGGACGGTTACGTAAAGTTATCTTTGATACTGTCATTTTCTGTGAATTTATTATTTATAAAATGTCCAAATATTCAAATCATTCAGGTTTCTGCACCTTTAATCAAAGAATGTCGTAGCCGATGTCTAATGGCACTAACCTAAAACAATATGTGGCTCTTTCAGATGTGTAAACAACGTATACTGCTGGATATTGTTTTCGGAAATTCTTACTGGACATAGATTAGATCAAAATAAGATATGTGTTGTGTGTGAAATATCATAAAATACATATCATATCAAAAGTTATCAAAAGAAACCACCAGCGGAAGGGCACAATGTTCAGATTTACAATTTATGCGGGAATCAACCATTCATCTAAAATTTCACGTGCTTCAGTAAATTTGGTAAGAATTCTTTTTAATTAGCAGCACAAAATATCAATTTATAAATCAATTAATTAATACAACTTTATTGAAAATATTGAAAATCTAATTTAAAGGCTCAATGTATCTGTTTTACTTGAAAATGGAGGATATTTGGATTATGAAAACAGAGATGATAGACAAACATACAATGTAGTAGAAAAATGGCCTGAACCAAGCAGAGTTTATTTGAAAGGAAAACAGACAACAGAATCCTACATATTTCACTGGGACATAGTGCTTCCTTACTATGATTGTTCTAAGTCTCATTGTCCTACACTGCCTGTTTATGTACCTGATACATCCACTTCTGTAAGTATTAATTTTGTCTGAAGGGTAAATGCTTAGGCACGTAACAAGGAAAAAAGTTAAGTTATGTTTATGTAATTAATTTATGAATAATACGAGATTACTGGTTATTGATTGATTTGAACTATAATAACTATGTGTTGTTTATGACATGCTCCTTGTTCACTAAAGTACGCTTTAATTCATTCCGTTTGATAAACTTTAAAATTAGAAATATGATTAAAAATAACAAATTCTTAAAATTACTCATAAACGTGTTTCATAAACACTGTCATGATAAGATAGTGACATTTTCTTAATATCTGCATGCAGTTAAGCGATTTTCAAAAAGAAGAACAATTGTGGAAAGAATGCTGTCTAGCTTTTTGATCTTTGTAGGAAACAATACATATGGAATATTATGTCGTATACCTAATTCATGTCTGAAAACTTTAATATATTTGTATATTGTATTGTTATTAAAATGGAAAATGTTTCCAACTGTACAAAATCTTTTGCCATTTATAGAGATTGAACGGACACTTTTTATCTGGATGACCCGTAGTACAAGATGTCTAACCCTTAGAAAAAACACGTTAGAAAAGTTTCTACTTGTCTAGGAATAAGATTCTCTGTCAACAGCGTTGCTACAAATAGAATAAGCTTATACCTGTTATACAGTTGGACGAACTAACTTACCAAAATACATGAATAAGAGTTTCCTACATATATGTAAAATTAATGTCTTCTTTTGTATTTATAGAATGTTGTCAATATCCACTGGAATATTTGGTCAGATGATCTGTCTGGAATTGATTACTTCAATATTGAAGTATATGAAATGCATTCAGTAGGAAATGGGACGACAGATAATGAAATCGAAGAAAAACATGATATTATTGTAGAGCAAACTCACATAAGAGATCTATCCGTATGTATAAATATTTTTTTCACTCAAATATTTTAGGTTACATGTGAAATCAATTTAGACAAAAAGAGAAAATAGATACCAAGGGGGGTAATTATAGTCTTTACCAATCTATATGCATGTATCTTGCTTTGTATTTGTCATTCGTTTGAAAGTCAATCCTTATTAGATTTTTTGTATGATTTTGCCTTTTACGGCGTTTCTTAAGTAAATTTTACAGTGCAAAAATATGTTTTAAAATAGTTATGTAACTAACGGTTTTGTTTTGCTTAGTGTTTATCAATCTTTTGTAACCTGCTGTTTGTCTTTTCGTTGTTTTTCCTTTTGATCATGGTTTTGTCTGTTTTTCTTCGACTTGTGATATTTGATTGTCCCCTTGGTATGTTTTGCCGCTTTATAATACATTGAACTATTTTCTTAAAATCTAAAAAAAATAATAACTGATTGTGTCTTAAAATACAAGCAAGTTATTGTTGACTAGGATAAAAGTGTTCTCAATTGAACGCAAACGGTCTTTTTCGCATTTATAAAGAACGTATGGTGACCTATGATTGCTTATATCTTCGTCATTTTAACTCTGGTGGATAATTGTCTCATTTGAAATCATACCACGTTCCCTATTTTCATATTTTTTCTTGATAGACAAGACGGATGAATCCTGTTGATCTTAAATGATTTCAATTGGATCTAAAATCGAGTATACCTTGTTTAACGATATGTAAATTTAAGAATGTAAATGGGGAGTATGTAAGAGAGACAACAACCCGACCAAAGAGCAGAAAACTGGCAAACTCTGGGTCTTCAACACAGCGAGAAAATCCCACACGCGGAGGCGGGATTCAGCTGGCCCCTACACAAAAACACAAAACTCCGAAACAATTAAATGAACTAACATTAACAAAAAACATACTGTAGGGGTTAAAAGCAATTTAAGCTAAGATATACAAACACGTCTGTTCAGCCATAACTTTTAATAACAACTCATCAGCGCCCACGGCGACGTCACTGAAGTCGCCGACGTCGACAATGGTAATGTACAAACTAAAGAACGTCTTTATCCCGCGATAATCTCGACACACTGGGGGACGCAAAAAGTGCAAATTGTCATAAATTTCACATTAACTGTCCATATTTGAAAATAAATTAAATTGAAAAGTCTCTAACTCCATGAATGAACTAAATTGAATTCAGTTGAACTAAGTTCTTGTTCACATAAATGCAAATTTTGAGTTAACCACGAATGTCCGTTTTAAAATTGTTAGTCTTCTTCAACATGTTCGTCTACATTTGTTATCCACTGGCTTCTGTATCTTCTTCCGGACCTTCACACTTGCTATTCGTCTAGGTCGAGTACTTCTGTGCGTTGTCTAGAGACGTTTCTAGATTGTGTTCCTCTGTTTTGTGCGAAACAAGAATGTTGAATATGTTGGTACCTATCAACGAGTTCTCTCTTTTGTCCCTTATTAGACCGGAAAGTTAGTAGTCTAATTTAGACTCCACGGCGGTTGGACCATTTCCTGTTTATACTTCATCCTCGACTATATCCCAATAGAGGTCTGCTCCGACCAAAAATGAGATTTCAAACGACTCTTCCTGTGTTATCGGATGTGCTAGCTTTAGTCCCCGTAAATAGTTCAGTCCTGTGTTAATGTGGCAAATATTATTCTTTAGTGGTATGGCAATCATAGTTATGATCAGAACGTTTACACGTATTCTCTGGCCGGCGTTTGTTTCTACGTGAACTGTTGATTTTTCTAAGTGCCGTACGTTTTGTCTCCATTTCCAAATGAAGATAATTGTAAAACTTCGCTAAATCCTCTGTAACAAATGATCTCTGTGCTTCCTCATCAAAAATTATATTGGTATCTCTACATAAGTGGTCTGACCATACGGGTGTTACGGCAGTTTTTAAAAGTACATTTGTGCGTACTTCGGCTGACGATGAGTGTAGAATTGTAGTGTCCTCTTCTTTATGTACAAGATGTACAGATGTCTGATTGCAAGTTGGTGAATTCTGTAAATGTTCATTGCTAATAGAAAAATTTCATATTCTGTGGGCTGTCATTTGTACTTTGCTCGATTCGTCTACTAGTGTCATTATCATGGTTAATGGTGTTGTTTTATTGGCTTCCAGTACACAGACTTGTGTGGTGTCTTTTGTTGCAAATACGGCAAAAGTGTTTTGAACTACAATCGTTTATACAGTGTGTGCCAAGGCAGTTGAAACATAATTTTTCGCGTTTTACTATATTTGTGCGTGTTTCTAGATGAGATACATTCGTGCAATGCGCTGGTGCGTGTATATCGTGGCAGAATACACAAGGTTTACTTTCCAAATTCTGGTGTGTATGTCTCGTATCTAGAGCTTAATTTTGTCGGGGTTTTATCAATTTTGTCCCGGTAAAGAAAGACGACGTACTCGGTACATTGTGAGAAGTTTCAATGTCTTGTCCTGTGTCGATTATGTTTATTCCATTTAAGATACTCTTTCGTAATAACCATCTTCCTGTTCCATGTTCACGAGCAAGGTGTTTTTTAATTTCTCCCGGTAATTTACTCAAAATAATTGGCACAAGTAATGTTCCATAAGAATCTTGTGATTGGCCTCTTACGTAAGTTTCCATTTGATCATAAAATTGCCTCAAGGTGACAAGTTTATTTCTTGGTGATGGAATTTCTAAAAGGGCTTGCATGTACGCGTGTGTGATTCTGTTTGAGTCTGCGTAGTTTGCGCTAGTAAGTACAAAGCCTGTTATTGTTCGTAATGCTTCATTCTGTAATTGTGCTTTGAGATAATTAAATTTCTGGACATCGGTCAATGAAGGGTTCTAATGTATGGCACATTCATACAAATCCCAGAAAGTTTGCCTCTCTAATATGTTCCCTGTGAATTTCGGAAGTGTGAGTTTGGGTAAGTAGTGTTTCTGACTGCTCGCGGATGTATGCGAATTTACAGAAGTACTAACTGTGTTACTAGCTTGAGTGAACGGATTTTCAAACGACTGCGTGCATGTATTTCCTGTAAGGTTTGTTGTGACGAACGGTTGATGTTCAACGTTTAGTATTTGCGATGAAGTTTTACTCTGATGTGTCCGTGATGTGGTTTGAGCATTTTGAATAAAGTTGCGTATGTGTCCGACTTTTGTTTCTAAATTTAAACAATACTCATCTGAATCTATGATTTCGTTTTCTATATCTTCCATTTCCGTTAGGTTGAGTATCTGTTCATTCAAGTTGTTCAGTAATTTTTGCTTCTGAATGAGGTTGTCAAATGTTGCGGTTAATTCTTCTGGATCGAAATCTGTAATCTGCTTCGATGCTTCTATCTTTCGAAATAGTTTGGTAACAGCACTTTTGTTCCCCGATCGTATCGATTTGAGCTTGTTTAAATCCTCGTCACGGCACCATAAATATAGAGGTTAAAACTGTGGCAATTTAAGCTAAGATATACAAACACGTCTGTTCAACCATAACTTTTAATAACAACTCATAAGCGCCCACGGCGATGTCACTGAAGTCGCCTACGTCGACAATGGTTATATACAAACTAAAGAACGTCTTTATCCCGCGACAATCTCGACACATACAAGACTAACAAAGGACAGAGGCTCCTGACTAGGGACAGGCGCAAAAATGCTGCGTTGTTAATCATGTTTTGTGAGATCTCAACCCTCCCCTTATACCTCTAGCCAATTTAACAATAAACAAAAACACAGCAATACGCACAGTAAAACTCAGGTAAAAAGAAGTCCGAAAACAACTGCTTTAAGAATAAATGTGTTTATTTCCGATGAGTGAATCAATATTAATTTCAAAATATGCCATCTTTAATGACCTGACAACAGTATCGTAACTATATCCCTTCTGTATAAGTCTGTTTAACCCTTTAACATTCAAGGATTTTTTACGTTTTCTACCCGAATAAACGCTGTCCAATTTCAATCAATTGTACATTTCAACAAAAGCTCATACAAAGGCCAACTTGAACTCATCTGACAGATAAATGATTGAAGTTTTCAGAAAATTTAATTTGAAGAAAACTAATCCTTTCCTTGGTCACGTGGTATCTTTCAAAAAATCACGTGACTTGCTGAAAAAAATGTGAAAACAATGTACAATTCAAGGGGAAAAGTGGTAGTACAGGCATTGTGTTACCAAAATAGAACAAATTTTAAGTGTAAAAGCAATGCATAAAGTCTTTTGGAAACGTTCTAGGTGCAAAATTTATATAGAAAGTTGAAAAACGTGCCAGATGCGGCGTCGAAAAATCGATGCTCGAAACATCCAAAAATAACGGATTTGTGAGGATTTTTGTCAAAGTCAATTAAGTGTCTGAAAAAGATGCGTTAATTAAAACTATTAACAGAATGAGTCTAAATATGCAATTATAATATAACATGGTTGGGTAGCCAGGGTAAGAATGTAACAAAAACAAAGGAGAGGAGAGAGGGGGGGGGGGGGGGGTTAGAAATTGAGTTTTTCTTTACTTGACTCAGTTGTCTTAACTGAAATTGAAAGTAAAGTTAAGTTAAGTTACATTTAATATAGGAAATTATGTTTTCCCCCCCGGCAGCGAGGTTTGAACACGCGACCTTACTGGCGTTAGATTGTTCATATAACCACTGAGCCACAAAAACCATAGGTAAAGGCATAACATTTAAGTATCTTACTCCACTTATCTCATGTCCCTGTAAGAAGAGAAAAAAATTTTGGAAGACCATAATCCAACTTCTTTTCTCTTCTTATGGTGTCCAACATTCGCATTATTAAGCATTAAAGAAACAAAGTTTTGTTGCTGCTATTCCAACTCCGCTAACAATTTTCTAGACATTTTAGATGTTTTCATCTCTCTTGCCATAAAAACTGACAAAACGAAACATGAATTTTGAGTGCGTTTTGAGTTTGTCTTAATGGTGAATCAAATATTTTATATGTGTACAGGTTTTAATTACAGTTTTAATAGTATTCTTGTAAAAGAACACGGCACAGTTATCAAAATAGTCATATGGTTTGTTTTTTTTTTAAATCAATGATTTGTTTTGTAATATTCTGTGAAAATAATCTATCTAAAAATAAAGATAAAAACAGTGTTATCAAAAAAATATTCTTGTCAATAAAGGGGGATTGACATAACGCATTGCATGATACTAGTTTCAGGCACATTAAATCATGTTGCTGATATTCCGAGTATCAACTGGAGCCCTCAACCACATCTGTTCGTCAAGAAATGTCAACGATACAAGACTTCATGCAAACAAGTTGTTCAAAAAATTGGCTTATCGGTCAAATTGACCGATAGGAACGTTAAAGAGTTTAATGTTTAGTTAGCTTTTGAAGTGAATGACGACATTTTGAATAAATAAAGGCAACAGTAGTATACCGCTGTTCGAAACTCATAAATCGATAGAGATAAAAACAAATCCGGGTTACAAACTAAAACTGAGGGAATCGCATCAAATATAAGAGGAGAATAACGACACAACAAAAACACAACATTAAAATGTAACACACACAGAAACGAACTATAATATAACAATGGCCATTTTCCTGACTTGGTACAGGACATTTTAAGAAAAAAATGGTGGGTTGAACCTGGTTTTGTGGCATGCCAAACCTCCCGCTTTTATGACAACGTCAGACACAACACCAAAACGACTTGTATAGAATATTACCATAAAAGATTGGATGTGAAATACCTGAACGTATAAGATGTCTGCATGGTGATTTATATTTACGAATGATGAACGATGACAAAATTTAGTAAATGTTTGACTAGTTTGTGATATTGAAATCCCTTGTGTTATAATTTTTCAGTTAAACAGAGAGTTCTTTCGTTAAAATCAAATAAGTTGTTACATACACAAGCGAATCGAACATGTTGCGATATGTAAACACCATTAGATGGTGACAAGGGAACATCACCATCTAAAAATGGATAATTAACAACAAAAAATGAAAAATCATCTCTTTTATCGTAAACTTTGGTACTAGTATTAAGCTACCCGTTAATGATATAGATCCAGGAAAGGGCAGTGTTTAGTGTCAGTATTAGCTTTATTAAGAGTCAATTCAGCAGGATAAATCTCTTAAGTGTATATACTGAAGTCGTCATTTTTGAGAGCAAATATGTCATCCAAATATCTAAAAGTGTTTTAAATTTTTTGTGTATCAGATGTTGTTTCGATGGGTCTTGGCTGATTTTAGTCATAAATTGTAACACGTAACAATACAGAAACAGGTCCGCAATAAGTGGTTCACAGTAAGTCCCCATGTAAATTCCGGTAACATGACGATATACGGAATCTCCATACCGAACAAAAAATGTTATCTAGTAAAAATTCAAGTGCAGTTATCGTATCAAAGCAGGTCCAATTGACATAGTTCTTTTGTTTGTTATTACTAAAAAATGACCTAAAAGTGTTTGAACATATATTTTCGCATTCTGACTTTTTAAATGTCCATTTAATTAGGTGTGTGATTTTTTTCTTAATGAGATAATGAGACAAAATGGTATATAGGGTACACAAATCAAAACTTTGAACAGATGCGAAATCACCAATATGAGTATGCATTTTATTAAGTACTTCCAACGAATTTTTGACACTCCAAAAGTAATTAATTACACTATTTTCAAAGGCCTTATTTGAACAATTTCTTACTATGTTTTTGATTGTACCAAGTGTACTAGTAAGTAGAATAGACAGTTTATTAGTGGAACAATGGATTGAAGATGAAATAAATCGGTATCTGTAAGGGTGTTTTGTGCAGCTTCGGATGCCAGTACATAGTTGGAACTTTCTTTGTATTTGGTTCTGTTTGTGAAGAGGTGGCTAAAAGTTTATGTTTGGTACAGATGTCATTTTCCAAAAATGACGTCAGTTGAAATGTTGGTGAATTCGTGATTTCCTTTTGCAGAACCTCAATGTAAAATTTACGACAAACAATAATGATATTATTATCAGCCTTATCAGCTGGGACAAAATAATTCCTTGGCGAGTTCTTTTAGCTTATGTTTGATACGAGAAATAGGGCTATGATGGTTGTTGTTAGGAGTAAAATGTTTTTTGACAAGTTTAATACGAATATCAACTATGTCCATTACTGAATTAAAAAAAGAAATCTAAGTTTTTTTTGTCAGCTTTTTCTCGTTTTATCTATTTTGTTCATCAGTAAGTACGGAGTGCTTCGTGGATGATGTTACGACACTCATTCCAATTAATAATAGACGGAGGACGATATTTAGGTCCTTTACTGAGGAATTATTTCAACTCTCGGTCATAGACGATGTAAAGGTCTCCTGTTATAACATGGAAACTTGGGCCATTAATGTATTCGGAATTACTGCAATTTCATGTGTATGAATGCACTTAGATTGGATGGCATAGATAATTAATTAATTATCACTATAGTTAACGTTCAAAGAATTTAGAAAAAAAGGATTTTGGTCAAGAATTACACTCACTATCTTCATTTCCATTATACAAGTGATTTGTAAATACAATTGCATTGACGGTACAAATTTAAGCTCTTCAATTGTTTCGGTTCTTAAAATCCTTGGCTTTCAAATATTTGGCTTTGAGCGTTCCTGATGAAGGTAAATCCAAAAAAAAAAAGCGCTTCGGACGCATAAAATTTATATAACGTGTTGTTTACATTTTTTAACTGCATCAGATGCGAATTTGGCAATTTAAAAAAGTATCTTATGTAAAGTAACACCCGGAAAAATTATCAGAGCTATGGGTAAAGAATATACATTCCATAGGTTTAAATATTTTTTACATTTACAAAACAGCAAATTTCAATAAAAAAAACTACCTGTATGGCCAAACTCGGACAGGGATTGAGAGCTTTGCACGAGGAGAATACAGCTCTTAATTTCAAATGATTTATAAGATGTGATGACAGATAATTATGATAGAACAATATCCGTATTTTAATGCCAGTACCGAAGATCTGCATACGGGGCTGGTCATATCAAATATTGAATAATTGAAGTTCATGAATTTTCAAAATAAGTTTTATTTGCTAGTTCTGAGTAGGTTCTTATATCATTTTTCCTGTAATATTTGAGGAATGACATTAAAAACGTTATTAGTGAAAATATAGTGATAACATGTATATACAAATTATATATATCTAATTTTAAACACATTTGGTGAGTCCAAATGAAGCTATGGTCATTTCTATATGGAAAGTGAAAAATGTTAAGAGTCTGATCCTAGGTGATGGATGTGTTTTGGTCGTTATAATTTTCATTAATTTCTTAACATAAAAAAGCATAAATACCTTTTTCCATTTCTAAACATTTACTAAAATAAATAATAGAAATATAATCAATTTATTCCTTGAAATAATAGGTAAAGCAAATACACAAAGATCTAGTAGTTCAAGACAGCAACAATTGAGAAAATTTCAAATTTCTTTTTTATATTTTGAAAGAAACATTTCAGTAGTACTACCATCTGGAGTTCACATCCTCTAGTTCATACTATATTCAAATGTTTACGTTTCATATCATAACTTTTTATACAGTGTTACTGTTTTCAATGAATTACAGATTTTACTAATACAACTAAAATTAACTTTTCAAAAGTTTAATGAACACAATATTGATTTGATTAACCGTAATTGAATATCTGTGTCATAGACAACGGATTTGTTTGAAATGCCGCAGTGTCAAACGTGTTTGTTTTACATTACCGAATTCGAATCACTGAATTGTCACGAATAACACAACGGGTATCTTTTTACAACACATGAGTGAAATCTGGATTTTAAAAGGGTTCGTAAATCTTTGATTTTACATGTGATGTTTGATAACTGTTGTTTATCTGATGGTCTTTCCTATTTTGACATTGCTTTTTCTGTTTTTCTATAACGCATAAGTTTTGTTTTCTTCTTTTTAGACACCCCCCATTTTAGTAATACATTACTTATTAGATTTATCATACTGTTCAAGTGAGACTGATAAAAATACTGGTCTGTTTATAATTATTATGGTTTGCCATGCTAAATATCATTATAATTTTGCGAATTACTTTTTAAATAGAGTACAATACCGGTAGCTGAAACAGGGATGTATGCTGTTCATCTTTCTGCCTTTGATAGAGCTGGCAATTCTAAGACTGCTAGAGCTTTTTTTCTTTATGACACCAACAAAATAATAGATCTAGACAAGGGTCAGATTAGAGTTATAAAGGCAGTGCAGTACTTAGGAAAAGACTGGATCACTTACTCTAACCCATTTATTCATGTTGAATGGAAAAAAAAGTTCGTTAAGACGGACCACTTCAATAATAGCTGGTTGGCAAAAATTCATCCTTATTATGATATTGAAGCATCATATGATGACCACAGTGGTAAACGAAATGTGACAATGGTTCCAAATGTCAAAGGTAATACTATTTTTGCTAAATATATATGATATTTTTTTTATTAATATAAAAAGTTTAAAAAGACTCAATTACATACCTAAAATACTTGTTTTCGAAAACAAAGCTTCGCACTACTTCCGATAGACATTTTATCTACTCTATCACCAAAACTTAATAAAAAAAAACCAACAGCAAATGAATGATAAAGAGAAAATACACTAGATTCAACCAAGACATGACATCATAGAAACTAACTTTATATTTTTTATTTGGCGAAGTTTCCAAATTTCGCAGATACACCCTTCAAATAAAATTAAAAAAACAGAAATTATTAAAATAGAACACAGAAGGACTTATACCCAAGTATGCTAGATTTCAATGATATTTCTCTTCATCTTTCAATTGATACGGGTTCCCGTTTATCAAAATGACACTTCTTGCATTCACATTGTTTGAAGTTAGTAATCCCAACCTACAAAACATCGATAAAGAAAAACAAACACACTTGTTGAACTGAATACATCTTTATAAAGTATACAGTTTGATTGTATCTTTAACTCACTAACATATAACCACAACACATCGCCTCGGTGGTCTCGTGGTAGCGTGCTCTGCTTGACTGCAGGAAGTCGTGGGTTGTTTGATCCTCGGCCCGGGGCACACCAAAGACTTTGAGTAAAAAAAGACTGGCCGGCAGCCCGGAATCAGACTAATGTGTCCTGGATAGGATGACATCTTTCTGCGGACTGTTACCTTGTTTTTTTTTAGCACGTTAAAAATCCGGCTCAGCATGTTGGTCTAGTACAAAGCAGGGTTAAAAGACACATCACTTCAATATGTTCTCGTCTTGAATATGCATTTAATTTGCCACTGGACGTTAAACAACCATCCAACAATCCATCAAACCACAAAATATCTTGCAGGAATGTTTGTATTTACATTTTCTCATTCACATTGATTTAGGACAATTGTCATCAGAAGTGATAAAGAATGTTTCTCGAAATATCATTTCATACTTTTACATCGATTGTGTTTGTTTAAACCGATTGCCAAAGTCGAGATATGTGGAAATTCTGTATGGGCAAATGCAATGATGCACTTAGGAAACTTGTCTCATATAAGTTATGATGAACTTACTAGATTAAAATAAAGATATTTACCGTTACACTTATTTCTTTTATCAGTCTCAGATAAATCAACTACCGTAGTATTTTATGCGATATCGATGTTTGTTCTTGTCCTTTGAATAATCATTGCACTCGATACACAATCTGGAGAGGTGATCTCACTGTATATTTGATACAAAAAGGTCGAAAAAAGTACACGGAATAAGAGAAACAGGCAACATAATGGAAATATTATCAATCTATTACTTGAAATAATAGGTCAGCAAATAGGTCTACTAAATCACGATAAAACCAATAAAAACCCGAATAAGACGAACATAAAAAATAATTGAAAACAGTCCGCAAAACACAATAAAAAAAACAAGAGATTGAGCAACACTAAAAGCCTGAGGTTACTCATGTTCTCCGGAAAGGTAGTTCGGACATGATGTAAGTATTTAGATTCTTGTAAAAAGTCTCTATTTAACTACCATAGAATTTGTCTTAAAAAAATCATACATCATAGAGACGCATTATAGCAATTGTTTCTTGGCTTCTTGGTTTCGTGAAACTTGATTTATATTTTTGCATTGATCTCGGAATATCACCTGAAATGTGGCACAAAGATTTACAATAGTATCACTAAGAATGTAGTTCATTAATTTAATTCTGAAACAATTGTTTTTCTGTTGCGAAATATATCAATTATGAAACGTTTGTGTCTTCTACAGGCATTGTAAAATTTGAAATTGCTCATAATGTTTACGGTACATCACTGAAGTCATCATCTCCTTTAACTCATGTACCTAGTGTGTATTCGGAAACAGCTACTCAGAATGTGGAATGGGACGATGGGGATCAACTTGTTGTTAACGTCAGGGCATTTGATTTCTTTGACAATTATAGAGATGAGACTGTGACGGCTTACAAAGACTCAACTTCACCAATAATATCTAACCTATGGTTGACAAAAGGTGATCGAGTAAACATCGCTGTTCATAGCGTAGAAGAGTTAAAAGAAATGATGTGAGTTTTCAATGATAATCTAATTGTTTTTACGTATTAAGTAGTTCATTTGAGTGCGCATACTTATCCTCTTCATCCATTAGACTTATTTAGAAATCAAGTAAACATCTATTTTATGCATTTCAACATATCAGGAAATAAGTTTTTCTCAGTTCCTTCTGAGTCGAATATGACCTAGCGTTTCCTGATTATGTCTTCTGGCATATGGGGGCCTCGGTGGCCGAGTGGTCTAAGTAGTCGAACTACTGTATCACTAGCCAGTCAGCACTGAGGTTGCAAGTTCGAATCTCGCACGTGGCAGGTGCGCTGGAGTCCAATCTTAATTGAATAGGATTGTTAGTATTCCTACCGAAGGTCGGTGTTGCTTTCCGGCCACTCCGACTTCCTCCACCAATAAGAACTTACCGCCACGAAATAGCACAATAGTGCAAAAAGTGGCGGTAAACACCAACCAATCAATCAATCAGTCTTCTAGCATATAGTTTGTTAATTGTTTCTGATGCTTTGATCGCCAACACAATGGCCATTGTTTGCAAGAACTCAATCATAGGAACCAGCATATTTTGCTTTTCATCTCAAACGTATTAGAGATTAAGAAAATAACCTTTTAATGCCGAATGATCGAATACCATCATCACATATGGACGATTCTTATCATTTTTACGTTTTCGTCTATTATCATGAAAGCTATCAAATATAGACAGGAACTTTAAAAACAAATATGATCAGCTACATAATTTCTGTAAATAAATCACATAACCAAAATCGACAGTCGACCTCTTATGTGAGTTATTGCCCAAGCATGGCAAACCGTTTGCGTTATTTGGCTAAGATGTTGAAAACTATGATAGATTGAAAGAAAATTTAAACAACAAATAAACGATATACACAATATTTTTTTTTTTTTTTTTTTTTATACACAATATGATATAAACATCAGTCAACACAACCAATATCGTCAATGCATTATTGGCCTTCAATAATATACAATTTCGAAAGTTTTCACTCCATCAGGCAAAATTGGCTATCGATAGCTATTCTTTTTGTCTTATTTTAGTCATATAGCTCCCAACGTTTATACTTATTCATACATCCCTGGCTTTCAAATAATAGAGTTTGACCAGTCCTGATGAAGATTAATCCAGAAAAGCTCTTTGGACTCACGAAATTTTCAAAGGTCTTTTTTTTTCATTGGACACATGCTAATAAATATATTAATTTTAAATTATCGGAATTACATTGTACACGATCTACAAGAAAAGAAAAGGATGAAAATCATCAATTGACTCCTTATAGCGGTTGTGCCTATACATGGTTTTGTATTTGTGCAAGTGGACAGGGATAAAATCTGGTCACAATCTTATTTTTTTTAATGTATGAAAGATAGAACTGATTTAAATGTTGCATATTTCTGCCAGTTTAGTGATTCAGACCCTTTGATACTTTATGCTGTTAAATGTTTAATATTTACTTTTCCCCAACTGCTGTGTTTCAAAACACATAATATACTTTTACCCAACGATTTAAGATCTACAAAATATAATGATTAAGAAATCGACATCTCTAAATTCAAAGGCTTTAACAATAGACGAATAATTTGAAGAAAGTAAATGATCACAGTAAAAATGAACTACATTGCATTGCAAATCTTTTATTAGTTCATGACTGAAAATGCTTTGTTTTGTACATGTCGTGTAAAAAACGTTTTAACGCGTGTATTTTTAAGGATTGAATGGGATGCTTACGATTATCACAGTGGAATAAGCCATTTGAATTGGCGGTTGTATGATAACTTCACTGGTTCGGATTTTATTCATGGAGAAATTGATTTACCAGGACAAGGAGAAACACAGGTAATGAAGTATAGTACATTTTTAAGAGTTGGTTAAATGGTTAATGCACTGGTGTCAATACTTTTCTCAACAATAGCGGGCTCATTCATTCATTACTAGAGGGACATTGATAGTCGCTAACGTTCAAGTTCAAGTTTTAATATTTTATTTTCAATCGAAGACGTCCATTACGTACAGAATGATCAAGTTAAATTTTGATATTTACAAATGTTTACAATGATAAAAATGATTTCTAAACGCATCCTACCTATCATTAGATTTACATTGTGAGCATTTTTAGACAGTTCTTATTGGATTTTATGTCAACTATGTATATCTCGTCATAAGAAAACTATTATATCAACGTGTACAAATGAAATATAAAAGGGTGATGTGTCTTATCAATGTCTGTTACAACTTAATAAATGAATCACATAAGACCGGTATAAAGCAGACACACATAGGAGTTAGATCGGGTGCTCTTTAATTCCTAGCCAAAACCTGCTTGAAATAAGACAAAAAGTACAATAAAACCCCATTGAATGTAATTTTCTAATTCATATGAAAAAAAATAAAATAAAAAAACAACACCTATGTTTAGAAGCCATATTTTGTGTTAATGAATACATTGTTCAACAGCAAAGACACTTTCCATAAAAAAAATTCTTCGAGTCGGACTTATCACCGATTTTGTACTTACACTTAACACTACGGATGCCACACATGGAGCAAGATCCACTTCCATTTCCGGACCACCAGTACCGGAGATATCCCCTGGTTTTTGGTGTTGTTCAGTCTTTAGTTTTCTGTGGTATGTTTTGTGTGTACTGTAGTTTGTCTTTTGGTAGTTTTTCGTTATTTGCCATGCCATTGTCAGTTTGTTTTCGAATTATGAGTTTGAATATCTCATTGGTTTCTTCCGTCTCTCTTCTTTAAATAAGAAAATAACTGTTCCAATTTGGAAATATTTTTGTAACAAATTAATGATTTTCGAAAGTCAGGTTTAGCAGAATAGACTAGAATTTCAAGTCTTCTTTCAATCAACGAAATCATGTTACTAATAAGGTATTTTTACGAGATATTTTATTAGTGTGGGGACCAGTTGTCGTTTCACAGGAATTGACCTACTAAATGTCAGAAATTTCAAACGAATATCGACATTGTATCGATATTATAATATGTCATATTTTCATATTGTCAAGAAGAAAGAGTAGAACGTATGTAAAACGACAAAAAAATATCGTACTAACAATTTGGAAAGTTTTGTGCCTTTTTAAATCTGAACAAATCTATGTCACTTAAATCAACAAGTTTCATTGCGATGAAGTGGATCAAAGATTTTTATTTTGAAATATATAAATCTTTTCAATTTCTTTATTTTACAGAACTTTGTGTTTTAAAACAAACTTTGATATTTCTTTGTCTGAACAATTTTTCAAAGATATATTCTTTTCTAATTTTAACATGTCAGACTTTGGCAGAATGTCAGGATAAATTCAAAGATTATACCAGAGGACCAGTATGCTACTGTACTAAATATACTGGTTGTTACCATAAACATTTTTATGTAAAGCCACATATAGCAGTAGATGACGGCAATGGAATAGTCCATAACAGATCCAATGGTGTACATGATTCAGATTATTTCATAGATGTTAAGGTTACAAACATGGCAACATTGACTACACTGAAAACTATCAAGGTAGTATATACTCCATCATTCAGAATTCACTATATACCAAGGTTTATCTTTTTTTTGCATTTTTCTTAATATTTTCTTATGATACATACACAAATTGAAGTAGAACAGATGATAAATACAATGACAAAGTATTAACAACACAAAAACCACAAAATTTCTTATTTTCTCGGTTTTCGCCGAGGGAAAAAAGATGGTAAGTGTTTTACTTACCAAAATTTTAATAATGAGCAAAAGGAACTTACTTATATCTTTAAAAGTGTCTATAATGAATCATGCCATATTAAGAAAGGAAACTAATTTTGAAGAACATACCTATGGGCACTAACAGCCAAGAGTAGTAAGAGAGTGACAATTAATCAAAGTACAATAGACAATTATTTCTGCATTAAATAACCCTTTCTGGAGTTAAAGTATTCCTTAATTAGGATCACAAAATTTCTTGATTTTTATAATTAGCAATGTGGGTCCAGGAATGCGTTTTAGGCTTACAGTAACATTTTTTTCTATCAAAGTTTTTTGACGATAATCATAAGATTTTATTTAGTAACTTTGGTGACCTATAGTGAATAGTATTCCTGTTTTAGAGAAGACGGACCAAACCAAATCTTAAAAGGTTTATAGAAATTAATATGAGCACTATTCCTAAATAATTTGTTCAAGTGGTTCAATTATTTCAAAGAAGTTTTGTCTGAAGATGGTCATCTAAATGAGAGCTATTCATAAATCAAATGTAATTTGATACCAAAGTAATATCAAGAGGAAAAGGAACAAAAATATATTAACAAAATGAAAAGCGTTTTAGGCACAATTACCAAGCGCATAGTCAAAAATATATTCAAATGTTTCTTCGGCACTTGTATTAGTGATAACGACATCTCACAAGATCGGTTTGCGCCGAGGGAAAACTGAACTTGTTCTCAATGTGAACGACCATTAAGCAATATGGCAAACTCTTGCCATCATAACTTTTAGGTAGGCATGGTCCATATTTTTGGAATTAAAATCATAATCATCTCATTTTCAATCATCAATAAGCAGGTAGGAGAAGAATGAAAACATATCAACGTTGGACTTTAATTGCCTTTTTCGGTATCTTCTCGCCCATAGGTACTGTACATAATTACGGGTTTGGTAAATTTGAGATGATTTTTACATTAAGATTATGTATTGAAAACTATGATAACTGCTACACAATTCTAAAATAGGCTTAACCTCACTTTAACGTCTTCAGAAGGATGAAATCATATTTATGATTAATAGTGTAAAACTTTCACTATGTTATGACTTTTTAGATAACAATAGACATTACCCCGCCAGTAGCCGGACATGTGCACGACGGGGTCTACGGCAGTCCAGATGTGGACTATCAGCAGGACCTGCGGCTTGATGTTCACTGGGAAGGATTTTTTGATCATGAGAGTGGTGTGGCATTTTACCAGTATGAATTTTCTGAAGTCTGTCTATTTGGAAAACACTTTCAAAATAAATCATTGGTTAGTATTTAAGAGACATTGAAATAATGAAAAATATCTTTTTCAGTAACTTGACAAGGCATTTTTTTAAAAAGTAATAATCCCGAATGTATAGGATACTATTTGGTTTATATTGCATATTCTTTAAAAATACATTGCTTATCATATAAGAGCTTTTTTGAAAAACTTGTCGAGAAATATATTTTAACATATTTAATTGAATTTAAACCCTTTTAAATACACACGCATATCATAATTATACGTATAAACAATACATTTGTACATTTTCATCTTATTAAACCTTAAACTTCAAATTGAAAAATAAAATTTTAAATTTACATAAATAAAATCCCGAACAAGCGATTCATTGACATACCTCATGCTGTAAGGAAGTGTAGGATTGATTTAAAGATTCCCAACCGTCTTCCTGTAGAAGAATGGTAAGGCAAAATATATTTCTATTAGAAAAAATGAATTGATAATTATCTTCATGATGTTTGTTATTGTTATTTGGTTGTCTTAACCAAGCACTGTAAATGTTATAGAAGTATTCCAAATATATCATCATTTATGTCTCGCATATAATTCATGTTTATCTACATTTTCTTTCATGAAAAACGCACCAGTAATGTGAATATTTTCTTGTTTAAAAATCCATTTCTGTTTTCATTGATTAACGAACCGTTGTTTGCCTCCGCTATAATGCCAAATATTGCATGCATGTTAAGGACGAGACCAAATTAACAAGAATTCAATTTCGATTTTTTATTCAATAACAAGTTTTACAAGGTTAATGGACCGAAGTGAAGAAGACGAAATCTAGAATGTCCCTGGAAAATAGGGTATGTTTGAAAGGAATCAAAAGTTTGTCTTTCCAACTGACAACCTACCAACCCCTCCTAAGATTGTGGCAGTCCCATTGTATTCCTAGATTTTAGTGATGAATATGTAAAATAAAGATAACAACAATATGGAACTCCAAGGCAAATTCAAAAAGGGGAAGTCCATACAAAACAGACAAAATCTAACGCTATCAATCAACGGAACAAGTGAAAAACAATTGCCATATTCCATATTAAATATAAAAATAAGAAGATGTGGTAGTATTGTCAATGAGACAACTCTAGACCAGACACCAAATGACATAGAAGTTAACAAATATAGGTCACCGTACGGCTTTCAACAATGAGCAAAACCAATACCGCATAGTCAGCTATAAAAGGTCTCGAAATGATAAATGTAAAACAATTCAAACGAGAAAACTAGTGGCCTTGTTTATGTCAAAAACAATGAACAAAATACAAATGTGAAATGCTGCAACAAACGACAACCACTGAATTACAGGTTTCTGACTTGGGACAGGCACATACAAAATGTGGCGAGGTAAAACACAGATTTTGGCTATAAGATTTATTTTAGGCAAAAGTAGTTTATTGATGTGCAAATTGCATAAATTGATTCAGAAGAAAACTTCAAGGTTACAAACACAAAGTAATTCGCATGAACTCCAAAAGAAGCGAATCCCGGTAAAAAGTAAAATCACAAAAATACCGAACGCCGAAGGAAAATTCAAAACGGAAAGTCCCTAGTCAAATGGCAAAATCAAAAGCTCAAACACATCAAACGAATGGATAACAATGGTAAACGTGTCTTGACATCCATGCATAAACCATCATAAAATGTATTGATCAATGTCATATCGCAATATTTGGTTTATCTTACCTATATACATCTATTTATTATAGGTCTAACGACTTAAAGTCATATGAAACTTCAAATTAAAAAAAAAAGGATGCATATGTTTTTTTATAACTAAATGGCTAGTTTTTATTTTAAAACTTTTGTACCTATACTTTTTTCTGAAGAAAATTCTTTAATTTGTCCAAATTTAGAAGAAATTTATTTTTTTTAATTATTGGCTTCCAAGACAATAATTCGCCTACATGTTTTCTGTATGCAGTTACCTCAGCGTGACCTTTCTCGTAAAAATCCGCTGATCGCAAAACGCAAGTGCGAAGGCGAAAACCAAATTGTCAGAGAGAGACAATAAACGTAAACATCGCTCCGTCATCGAAATAAACTATATCTTATTGAACATGTTATACACGTGATTACCTCAATATCCATGCTTCTTTGTATATTGTTTACAAAGCAGACAATCGGTAAACTTCGGCTTCAAAACACGACCATTGATTAGCTGCCATATTTTCACATCAACACTGACCGAGTTTGTTTGGTTTTTTTTACGATTACTAGTATACGATATGGATGCGTAAAAAATGATAAAATCGTGCACAGAAGACTAAGTTTATGATATATGCATGCATTGGTTCAAGAATTGGATTAACATTATTTTTCACCAGTCACTCGTTTCTTATGACCTTAAGTACGAAACTTTCAGTCTTTTAATGAAGTGGGTTCTTTGAAGATATTTCGCGGTATCAATTATATAAACATATTTTCATAATTTGAAATAAACCTGAAATTATTTCTCGGATGTAATAGTTATTTAGCATAATAATTCAACACCACTGTATCAGTTTGTATTTAAAATAAGTTAAATTAAAATAATTTTACGATAGTAAAACGACACATTGCATTTGTTTATTGAAGGCGTTGCTGCCATAGTTCTTTGCATTGTTAGTCTAATGTTTTGTGAATTCTTTTTAATTATATAACTTTTGATATGCCAACTGACCCGCGCATTCGGTCATTATGACATATTAACAATCATGTGATTTAATCATTCTTCCCTTCATGAATTTTGAGTAGTTTCTTTCTACCTCGTTTACAAATTATTTTAATATTTATTGTCTTCTTTACTTTTTATGACAAAATAATTTTACGTCTTACCGTTTACTGTAGGAAACAGTTCGTAATGTAAAAATGCAGAATCGCACAAAAATGATTTGACAAGTTTAGTATCATATTATAACTACAATCGTCCATTTGCTTGAATATATATTTTACATATAAATAGGATTAGGATGATGATGATGGGTGGCTGCTTAACGTCCAGCGGCATAAAGCATTAGGAAACTAAAAGCAGAGGGCTATAACTCACTGTCCATAGTAATCTAATAATGTTTGCAAATAGGAAGAATCTCGAAAAATAAAGATATTTTATTACACTAAATTACCATTATTTTCTGTAATAAGTGATAATTTCATCATAGTTTGATTTAAAAAAAGAGATAAAGATACCATAGGACAATCAAAATTTATAAGTCGAAGAGAAACCGACAAAACCATGAAAAAAGACATCAATCAGCTAACAGACAAACAGTCTATAAGGAAAATTTATCGAACCGAAAAATCGAGGGGTGATCGCATGTGCTTCAACATATTGTAAAATAAAGTTAAAATGTCTGATAACAGCTGATATTCCACCAGATTTTTCTACCTTGTCTATTGTTTTTTTACTTATATTGGTTCGTTATCAACAAAATATCTTTTATAAGCATAAAAATAAAATAAGGATGTGGTATGATTGCCAATGAGACAACTATCCACAAAAGTTCAAATGAAGTGGATGTAAGCAATTATAGGAAACTGTGTGGCCGTTTACAAAGAGAAAAACCCATACCGTATGGTCGGCTATAAGAGGCCCCGACATGAATTATAGGAAACAATTTAATTGAGAAAATTAATGACCTAATTTATAACAAAACAATTTACGAAAAACCAAATTTGACAGACATGAACCAACGACAACCACTGAACTACCGACTACTGACTTTGGACATGCACATAAAGAATGTTGCGGGCGTAAACATGTTTGTGAGCGCTCAACACTCCCTTTTACCTGGGACTGTGGTGTAACAGTACAACATAAGAAACAAACTATAAAAATCAGTTGAAAAAGGCTTAACTCATCAGATAGATACAAATAGAAAAACATTTAACAAAAGCACAGAGTGGGCGTGGACGGGTACTTATACATCCAAAAAACAAAAATGACACGAAGTACAGATCTGAGAGTTCTAGCAGTTACTGACAGCTTGTTCAAAGCTAATAACAACTAATGAAAAACAAATCATGTATTTTAGACTAAAATATCAAACAGTACACATCCAACATCAAATGGATTTAGTGTAAAGACGTCATTAACAGTCAGAAAACATGACCTTGTGCAATGCTAAACTATAGGTATCGACAGATTGTAGTATCGTGAAAGTACACATGTGTAATATTTAGTATGGTTTTAATTCACTGATAACAAAATCAATATTTATACCAAAAAAAAACAATATTCAAAGATTTAAATACATTGTTGAATAGGTAACCTTTTAGAACAACCTTATTAAAAGGATAGATAAGTTTACCTCGATCGTATCTAAATTTCCGGGCTCGGTTTACAACATCACTGTAAAAATTAGAATGTGCTGTTCCGTTTGAAATAGGTTTTCTACAGGTGCAGCCAAACACTCAGACCAAATCTTTGTATCTATGAAAGAATTTAGTAAAGGTTTGAAGTCATTTGTGGCAACGAAATCCCAAACTAAATAATCTACTAGTAATACATAGATTACGCCCATTAAAATCCAAAACGTCATTATAGACACGAGCATAGCGAACGAGTTGGGATAAATAAACACCGAAAGACAGTGCCAAAGGAACATCACCGTCTAAAAAGTGAAAATTATCCCTTTTGTCGTAACTTTTTGTGTAGAGTTTCTGGTGCAATACTGAAACATGTAAATCTAGGAAAGGACAGTTATTACTGTTGGTATTAGATTTATTTAAAGTAAGTTCCTTTAAGTAAATTTCGATGTCTACTAAATGGAAATAGCAGTGATGACATAAGCTAAAGATGTGCCAGAACTTTTCATAAGGGGGGGCCCGCTGACTGACCTAAGGGGGGCCCGCTCCAGTCATGCTTCAGTGATTCCCTATATGATCAACCAAATTTTTCCCACGAAAGGGGGGGCCCGGGCCCCCCAGGGCCCCCCTGGATCCGCCTATGTGTGTAATATATCAAGAAGAAGACATTTGTCGACCATTGGCGTTAATTGATGACAATTACTAACATGTTATATATAAGTCAGACAATCTTAAGATGAACTCATGATGAGGCTATGCAAGGGAAACTTGAAGAACAGCTAAAGTAGTCTAAATCAGGTTTAAACTTAAGAGGGTTTAAAATTTGGGTTTTTTTGTAGGGCTACTGACCTAGTAGTTTAAAAAAGGGAAAATGAAAATTATACCAATTGCAAAATCTGTATCATCATTTCGGGTTAGTATAACTTTAATTTAAATGACAGTCTTGTGTGTCTGAGTTTCACCAGTTCTGCAAGTTTGTATAAAAATTTTCAGACGGACGACACTTATGACACATTCGCCAGTTATAACGCACCGAAACCTGGAACATACTATGTGACAGTGGTGGCATATAATAGAGCCTATGACATGTCTAAACCAGTTTGTTCGGATGGGGTTACCATAATAACCATTGTACCATCAGTTAAAAATGTTATTGTAATGCATGCTAGAACGAAACCACGTTTAGTTAGAGACGTTGATGGCAATGAATGGTATATAGATAAAACCCTTCAACGACATATCTTGGAAAACAATACAGACTCATGCAAGTATGTGATGTTTTAATACATTAGTAATGCACATACGATTCATGCGTTGTAGGGGGCCATGTATTTTTCAGTTTATATAAAAATAATATTTGTTTCTCTCACCAACATGCAGGAACATGATTTCAAACTATTGATATTATTTGATCCTCACTATTCTTCAGTAGATACAAATTATTTTTTCAAACCTTCCTTCTAAAACATATTATTTAGAAAAAACGCTTTGACCCCAACCAACATTCTTACACAAGTAGAATCATCATTGTTATAGACAATATAAAACATAGAGAACAAAATTACTAACAAAATTATCGAATATATGATATAAATAAGAAGATGTGCTACAAGTGCCAGTGAGACAAATCTCCATCCAAATCATTATGTATAAAAAGGTAACAATTATAGGTCAAATTACGGCCTTCAACACGGAGCCCTGTCTAACAGCGAACAGCAAGCTATAAAGGCCCCCAAAATGACTAATGTAAAACAATTCAAACAGGAAAACCAATGGTCTAATCAATATAAAAAACGAGAAACGAGGAACACCTATGAACCACACCAACAAACGACAACCACTGAAGACTTATGATTAAGTATTCCAGATGCGTTTCGTCTACATAAGACTAATCAGAGCCACTCGAATAAAACAGTTGAAAAGCAAATCAATACAGAAGTTGAAAACAAAAAGGTACAAAAAGTTGTGACAAATCTTATCTTATTTAGGCAATTTATGCCAGGGGCTAGAAAAATAAATTTACATATTATAACAAAAAAAGGGTTTAAGGGTAAAATCAAATGGATTAGAACAATAATTTTGTCTGACTTGTTTACCCAAGAAAATGGTGGGTGAAACCTGGTTTTATAGCTAACTAAACCTTAACTTTTTACATATGTTACAAACAGAAACAAAAAGATAATAAAATATCAATTATTTAAATTTACTTGCATATACAGTATATTTTGTAGTTATAGTTATTGTTTTGAAGGTTTTCAGATCCGCTGACCGAAGACATTGAAGTTTTCCCAGTCTCCCAAACCCCAGTGAATGCTCACAATGTATGCGAGAAGACCCGTTCGTATTCAACCTTGGTTACTCGAGTAATTCCTAGTATACACATGGTATGTTTTGTTTGCTTCCCGATACATCACGCCATAAGATATGGGAATCATGTTCGACCGTTCTTTCATAACCAAAGCACACTAGCCATCTGAGATTATTTGCTCAAAAGCTTTCATATTTGGTAGGATAGATTATTGTATTTCTACTTACTAATACTGCACTTGTCTAATATTCCAATTTGAATAATTTTGCATGATTTTTTAGGACGTGGACTTTTATTTCAACAGGTGTAATATTATATCACATTGTGAATCAAACTCCCCGGAGGCTATATCATCAAAGCAATCATGCTTAGACAAATTGCTTACTAACACATAACTCCTATAGCAATCTTTTCAATAATAGTATATGAACCCTAAGTGTTGCCTCAAAATGAAAAAAGTTACATAAATTCATCATGGATACCAATATCAAAATTGTGTACGCCAGACACGCGTTCATATACAAAGGACTCACCGGTGACGCCCGAATAAAAATAGTGAAAATCGCCAAATGAAGTACGAAGTTGAAAAACAATTTAATATCAGATTTAAGAAATCATCCGAACCATTTACCTTGAGAGGAGTATGCATTTTACATTTGTTGATAATGTTAAGTAACTGGAATTTCTGCACGAAGTATCTAATGTTTGGTTTTATTTTGAGTTTAATTTTAACATTAATTTACGCATCTTTCATAGCATGTAAATATATGTTTCAGTTAAACATAACATGGGCACCAGTTGTTGATGCTTTGCTTATAGATGATTACGAAGTTGGAGTATCATCAGTACTGGGAAGCTCTGCACCAGATATAATGACATTCCAGTCGTCAAGGCGTCATACACATATTTTGATAAATCGCTTTGGTGTTCCCGAGGGAAAGTTGTTCTACATCATTATAAAGTCTATAAGCAAGTCTAATGTAATGGGTTCTCAGGTAAGTCTATGAAATCATTCTTTCAGTCCTAATTTTTACACCTTAAATGACTAAAGTGATAACATAATTTTTTTCATATCACATTTTGTGAATTGAATTTGTCACCTATTTTTTCCTTTAAAAGATTAAAGTAATAAAGAAATTTTAAATCTTAATATCATTCATCAATAAACGAATATTTGCATATATAAATCATCAAACGATTATAAATGAGATTATCAGTCGAAGAAAATGTATTATTTTTACAGAGTGTTGGTCCGTTCATACAGGACACAACATCTCCTCAGTTCGTTGGAACAGATATTGGTTTGTCTCTCTCTGGAAATTACCTCGTTGCAAATTGGTCTGTGGCCAGTTTTGAAGATAGTGATAACCCATTTGCGTTGGACTACGAATATGCTATAGGTAAAGATAAAAAAAACCATATTTTTTTTATTCAACAACCGTAATAACTTTCATCAGGTATGCACGAGACCAAAATTGCTTGAAGCCAAAACATATAAAATACTAAGAGCTAAGGTAAAGTCGAAAAGCGAGCAGGTTAGATCTGTCAAATTCGGATACGTTTATTCAAATTCATCACTTTTCATTAAAGATTTAAAGACAACATTTTCTATAAATTCTACTTGACAATACACCAAACTCTTTTACAGAAAAAACATTAAAGGCATTGTCTTCTTAGTACCTCTAATGTAATATACATGTCTTCCAATGTTTGCACATAATATGTAAAAAAAAAAATAGAATTGATCAAAAGTTCCTCTTGATAACAATACAATATTTCAACACTGAATTTGATTTTGTGTTTAGACAAAATTTAGATTGTAATCATACACTATATCAAAATCGAAAATTTCATTTTGATATGCAAGGCCAGTATTTTGACTTAATGTGTTCCTTTTTAAAGAATGTCCTGAAAAAATTTTAACTAGAAGATAACCGGCGCAAGCGCGGGAATAAAAGAAATCTGATGAATAAGAAAGGGTCATACCTATTTATGTATACGATCGGTTATTGAAAAGAGATGATTCATGTTGAAAAAAGTGCGCATGTCATACTTTATTTAACTTTAAGTCAGATTTTTTAACTTGTTCAAAATATATCTCGTATTGCATGTAGTTTGTTGATATTGCATGTGCTTACAAAATCTCCTGAACAAAGACCTTTGAAAACATGAGAACTGTGAATGGATTTCTTTTGAAATATAGGAATGCAAACTTTAAAATACATGATTATCATAGCAGTTGTCATCGGAACATCAACCAATCGATTGAAATAAAGTTTAATGACCAAATTTACTTCTGACGCATTTTATTTCCATTTAGAAAAATAAAACTACTACTGCTTTTAAAGAAAGATTTAAAGAAAAGATGAAATCATGGAGGTCCATGTAGCCCCCTTTTACAAAACCTGTTGTATCAAACAAAAATAAATATGAACATTCTGACATTACCAACGGTTAGTTATTCATGTTTTTTGGTGCAATACAATTTCTGCAATTTCGAAGATAAGATACTAAATTCAAAAGGATGTTCAATATTTTATCGTTTGGTTATAAAAAGTAATTTTATTTGACTTAATTTGTATTTAGTAACTAAAAGAGAGGCGAAAGATATCAAAGACATGCAAACTGAAAATAGCTTTTCATTGAGGGCATTTGGCTACGTTTGAAACGTAGATCAATATTTATACTCACCAAACGATCTGTCAGTTTACAGTGCGACTTGCAAAGGGAAGGGAAATATTTTAATATTGTGTAGAGGTAGCTAAGGTTTTCAATTATCAGTAATTATGATATACATGGCTTGCAAAAATTCCTGGGTTTTTGGAAATTTACATAAAACATAAAAGTCATACAAAAAAAATTGTTATGCCATTGCATTTAAGACTATTTGTGACAGTAAATTGTAGCATCTTCTGAGGTGGGGAAAATTTATATATTATTTTCTAAAGTGCATAAAAAAATACATTTCTGCTTTGCGTTTTATAGATAAAAGACTAAACATATGCCACTGCCAGTATAACCCTTATTTTTATATCTAATTTTCTATGCTGCCAATTGTATAACAAAACAAACTAATATAACAAAAATCATATTACAGGTCACACACCGTATTCTACAGACATACAACAATATTCCATAGTAGAAGAAACTGGGCCATGCGTCCATTCATCAAAATACATGTGCACTGCAACTTATATATTGTCTTTAGACTGGAAATTACATGGTCATCATGAATATTACGTGACAGTAAAGGCTACAAATCTTGCCGGCCAATACGTCACCAAGTCATCTGTACCTTATATTCATGATTTATTGTTGCCTATCCGAGGTCTGGTTATTGATGTTCCAGGAAATTCGTCAACTTTTACTCCAGTTAAGGTATATAGGGCGTGTAGTCTTATGTGAAGATACAAAAAAAACTAAAATTAAAAATATGAGCAAATTACAATAATATGAATGAAAGGAGATTTGGGGTAAACGTCAGACAAAAAGCGAAAGACAAAAATAACCGATGGACATACATAACCAAAAGACTTCTGAAGGATAGCAAACAGTCTCAAACAAGTTAGTTTTCTCTATATAAAATATAATCAGTAAATCATTCCGAATATACAAATTAAAGGCAGTAGAAGTTTACCAATTTTCAAACATCATAAATTTATTATGCTTATACAAACCTAGTTAAAAAAAAGATTGAATCGAAGAATTCCAAAAGGAGCGAGACCAGGAGTATACGTCTCTTGTTATGCATGCATCATACGCCTTTTAAGTTCAAACTTGGTCACATTGTCACAATCGGTATATTTAAGACTGTTAGACTTTTCTGGGACCTTAAGATTTGACTCTGCGAAAAAAAACTATTTTTCGTTAGCTGAAACATAGACACATTGTTAACAAATTCATGTTTGTGAAGTGTCAATTTTAGTCGTATCTCATAACCTTGCTGAAACATTTTAGGGTTGTAAGCACACTCCTTTTAATGAAGTCAGAGTAATGTAAACATGCACGTGCCTAACGTATTAGATACTTAAATGTCATACGACGGGGGCAGTTTATATGCTACTACTAATGTGAAGTTATGGAAATCGAAAAAGTCATGTTTGTGAAGGTAAACGTTTAATTGTTTTTAGATCAAATGTGTCAATCGTGATATATTTTTAAGTGAATGTTGGGACAGTGACATCCCAGATTTAATATATTCACTAGTTCAGACAATATAATAATGTTTAGAGTTGCTAGAATACTATCATTTAAAAACATATAATTTTTGGCATTTCTTGGGACAAACGATGGCTCTTATTACAACTCTTCATTTGTGGCAACAGATTGAAAACAAATTGTTTTCTGGGAACATAAATTTGAACTACTAGATAGAAAAATCTTAATTTAACAATACACTGAATTAATTTGTAAAATAAAGAACTTGAAAGGAGAGGTGTTTGAGGTGAAGTTTCTCCCGATAATCGTTTCTTTCTTTTCTGTTGCTATTTATTACAAGACAAATATAACTGGTGAAGAATGTATATCAGGAAACACATATCTATGTTTCGTACAGCCCTCTTGGAGTTTTCTAAATTCATTTTAGAATATTCATATAAGTTATCGAATAGATTCGGTACGTATATCTATATAGACATTTTATCCAATAAATTTAATTTTTTTTTCCAGGACATTGTAGACATTGACTATACAACCATTACAGATCATCTAGTTGTTCGTTGGACGAAATTTTATCATCCACATTTGAATTTAACATACTATGCCTGTGCAGGAACCGCTTCAGGCAGATGTGATGTTGATGAAAAGAGGAAAATAACCGGCAATATTAATATTTACCTATTTTCTGGACTCTCTCTGACACCATTTAAAGTATGTGTTGAAATTTGAATTGTTTAAGGATGGCAATTTATACACTTCTCCCTCTATTTACAATATATTTATTATACAGATTAAACAAAATCTGAATGCGGAACGAACATACACATGTATGTCAAACAAGATTTTGTTAATACGTGATACTTTGAAATATTGTTTCTAAAATATTTGCTGGACCTTAATACTGATTATTTATATTTTGGAAGCCTTCACGTAGATACCTCATTCAGTATATTGACTACTTTACCAAAATTTTATTTTCTTCGATTGACATCGCCAAAAACCAAAACAAGACCACTTTTTTAACAAAATTTATAAAACTGAGATATCAAGATATAAGTTCAATAAACAGATATCTCAAATTATTAAACCGCGACTTTAATCTGTTAATGACATACCTCGATTTAGTGAACCGAAGTATCGATTTACCTACAACATTTCGATTCAGTTTGCATGAAACTCGATTTGTTTATCCAAGATTGACATCTCTTTTTATACAAAGAGATAATGGTTAATTTAACTTAGATTCAAATAAATAAGAAAAAAAACATGGACATTGATTAGATCTCAGTGAACTATTAATGTAAATATCAATTTTGATAACAGTTTGCTAAATGAGGTATTTGTAATAAAAAAAAGTGTCTCATTATGTCTCATTTGCTTTAGAAAACGAATATTTGGGTCCTTTATTTTCTTCGTGTTTCTTATGTGTACGTTGTTATCCTTTGGACCCGATTTTTTTATTGATCAACACTAAATAAAGGCAACAGTAGTATACCGCTGTTCGAAACTCATAAATCGATAGAGATAAAAACAAATCCGGGTTACAAACTAAAACAATGTAAATTTTTTTATTTTTCACAACGTAATGGTCTTAATTCTAAATATATTTGATATCTATACATCAAATTATGTCGAACTCTGAATAACAGCCTAATTGATATTGATATTGATATATGCATACAATTCAGTTGATCATTATATACAATTACTTGAATTTAATTGAGATTTTTGCTCATATCAATGGGCTCTCTCTATATCTCTATGAGTATATAATATATGTTTGTGTTTTAAACTCTTGACAAAATTTACTTATCGTTCAATTCATATTAAGTTTTCGAAAAAGAAATTATAAATTCATGACGATTTTATTATAGCGATACTACAGTACGGTTTTTGCTGAAACATCGACAGGATCAGTATTTCTATCCTCAGATGGTATTACTGTTGTAGATTCCAATTGGTCATTGCCAGATCTGAAACTCATGGATGGAGAAAACTGCACAGGCAAGTTTTACCTTTCATTTTTTATGCCTTCCGTCCGTCCGTCTCGACCGTCCCGTCTGTCCGGTCTGTCCGTCCCGAACGTCCCCAAAATTAGTTTCCGTTCTCTAGCTTTATTTTGCCTCAACCAAATGTTTATAAAACTTATACACAATACTTATTACCACAAATAACACAGATCAAGTTCGAAATTGCGTGGTGTCACTTTTGCCGTTCTTGAGTTAGGCCCCTTTATAAACATAAAAACTGCTGAATTTTTTGTTTCCGTTCTCTAACTTTAGTTTGTCTCAACACATGTATGAAACTTATACACAATGCTTATTACCACAAAACACAGATCAAGTCTGAAATTGTGTGGCATCACTTTACTTATTATCACAAAACCGTTGTACGTGAATCCTGCATCTGTATGTGGAAGTTGACTGATGCATATTTACAAGCGGGAGCATCTGTGGCCAATAGACATTTTCTCCATTTATTTCTCAATAACTTAATTACAATAAATTCTTTACCATTTAGGATTTCAACTTCTATATACGGCAGTATTTTAAAGAAAATATTTCAGAGATAAAATTCAAAATATGTCTGTTACAAAAGCATTTACACAGTCGTCAAATTTGTCGTCTTGTAATGGAATAATATACAAGTGTCAATACTGATTAATGTTAAAATTTAAATGTGTACCTTATATATTGATATCCTTTAAAATGTAGAATGAGCTATCCGTCAATGAAACATCCGGTTTAACTAGCTATAAAATCCGGTTTCACCAACAGTTTTCTTTGGAAAATGCCTGTACCAAGTCAGGAATATGAGAGTTGTTTTCCGTTCGTTCCGTTGTTGTTAACAATAAATGTTGTCAGTTTTTATGGACTTCCCCTTTTTGAATTTACCATGGAGTTCTGTATTTTTGTTATACTTTTTATATCCTCTCAATGAAACATTTACAGTTAATATATAAATATACAGTTTTCTACAATAAATATCTTGACACAATATATCAGGCTCTGAATCTCTTTGATATCAAATATGTATCCTCGACATTAAATTCCAATAGACACAAACTACGAAAAAAAGTACTGACAAAGTCAGTATGCAGATTAATTACGTCGGCATGGTTTAACCAGACTACCGAAATCTATGTTTCAAATTGAACCTATTACATTAAAATAAAATTTAATGACACTTTGTTTACAGCATATTCAAATGTTTAAACTTAGCTACAGCTACAACTATTCTACATCATGTTTATATTTTGCAGACAATTTACCATTAAATGCAAGTCATCATAATGAGGTATGAAGAAGGCGTGAAAAAATCGTCTTATTATAGAAAACAGTCAACAACATTAAAAAAAAACTTTTTGTGCATTCAATGCAGTAAATACCAATACCATATATGCCTTGAGGAAAAATACTGTTTTTGAATGATATTGATATTTTAAAAACAGCACATTTTCAGACAATGATCACATCTAAAGAAAAAAGCTTATATTATTCCTTTTTGTTGAATTCAAGTGACCCTGATTCCATTTAACATTATCTTATACATATCATATACAGTGTTTTCAAGGCAAAGGCAGCGGATTTTTTTTTATCTAGTTCAAACGCACTATCTCTTTAATGCCACTTTTATTTGAAAATGATTCTACACATATCATGTTTGTTATTAAAAAAATAAACGTTCAATTTCCTAAGTTTTTCTTTCAGATCCATTTACCAAATTAAAACAAGAATTCAATCAACCATTTTAAGAATAATTGTCAACGTATTCTGTTGATTCTGCGAAGGTCCATGGACTCAGCATGTGTTTAAGTGAACAAAATCTAAAGAATAGCAAAAAAAACAAAAATATAACAAATAAAATTTATGCATTATATTTTATTGTATATATAGTTTCAGAGGAACAATTGTTCCGCCCATAAGGAAAAATATAATAATTCATCACGTTTACATGTTTTGCATTTATTTTCAACAGGATACACGACCAAATTGTGCTTTAGACAAGGCTTTTCAAGTATCCACTACTACTTTGAGCACATATTTTCAAATTCCATTTGATTATATACCATTTGTAACACATGCGTTTTGGAGTATAGATGAACGGCATAGATTTGGTGGTAAATACTTTTATCAAATTGTTACCTCAAGACAGTGAATAAAACACTAAAACTTATAATTATGACTTAAATCAAACAGAGCCAATATAACAACATTAAAATTTCATGGAATAAAGTAATAAGTAATTGGCGAAAGAAATACAAAACCATATCCAACATCAAATAACGGAAGACAAAATCAGACCACAGCCTACGCAGATTAAGTGATTACTAAGTACTGTGCATCACGAATATTTTCAAGAAGCAGGGTGAACGGAGGTGCTCTGAAAGTGCAGTAATTAAGTACCCCACCAGTCCCATGTGTTATATTCTACTCGATAAGTAAAATATCGTTCCTAAGTCGTATGTTTTGATTCATTTATTACCGTTGACGAATAAAGTTCAAATTGCTATTCTTTCTCATCACTGTCTTTTACTACAAGGAAAATTGTGACAACAGTTACTTATAAAAATGAAAATAATTATACTAAATAGTTACTTGATAATATATATTAGTTTGTTTCACTGAGTAATGCTTTGCCCTTGAAAATTGTCTTGCAAGTAAGTATGCATTAACCTTAACCATAAACAAAATTATCTTAAATCTTAAACATCCACGGTAACTTGCTAAAACATATATTAAATGGTCCGAAAAAATGTTGTAAAAACAATGGATATATATTTTTCATTTGGTTTGTTTCATTGCGACTGTTTCAATGTTTAAAACCTATGCTTTGTATATGAAAAAAAAACAGTAACCGCCTGTACATGCTGTTATATTTCCGTACAAACTATTCCCCATAACTACTATATATTACTTAATTGACTGTCTTCATATTAAGAAAGTTCGAGTCGTGATTCAAATTCTTTGTATCGAATAACTGAAACCAAGTAAATTCATCTTTATTTAAGACTTAAAAAAATTTATATATAAAAATATGACATTTCCTTGAGTGTTTGCAAATATGATGATTAAAACGATTCCGAAATTATTATTACTGAATCCTGAATATATACGTTAATTTAGAAAGCACTTAAAAAATATACGTATCTACTTATGGGAGTTTCAATATTGGATGAATATATTTGGCAATTGAAGGATTAACATGTATAAAGTATACATCTGACAAGAAAATACAAAATTCTACCTATGAAAATGAAGAATTCGTTCAAAATAGTTCACAAATTTTACTAAAAGTCACACAGGTAGTATGCGGAGTCAACATTGCAGATTTAAAAGAATACACAATGTTTATTGATGTTTAATATTGAAGTTAATATACCACTGCATGTTTCTTTAAGAGAGAAACTAATGAGCTTTTTGGAAATTTCAGATTTTTGGAACACATTCAATGATATGGACTTCCAATATTTTTCCATTCAACAAAACAATAATTTGACCGTAAGAAGTCTTACTCTTGAGCCTGGACGAACGTACCGACTGTCAGTAAAGTTTTGTGCAGGCGATGTTTGTTTTCCTACTCTAACGACTAGTGGTGTCACAATCATACCACATAAGCCTGTTGCCGGGCCTATAATGATTGAATACACATATCATATTAACAATACAGATAAGGTATTGTTTATCTTTTTTTCATTTGAATCGCTCTTATCTTTTTTTTTTTAATTTATTTAAACGTTTAAGTATATGATGGTATATGGCGTAATGATTTGTTTTGTTTAATTCTGCTCATTTTTTATATCAAGGTTTGTACATTATTTTCGAGTCAAATATATCACCATGCGTGCAAAAATGACAACGACAGCGAAAAAAAAAAAGAAACAGTTAAGTGAATTGCGGAGAAAAAAAACCACTTTAGAAATGAGAAAAACATTGATAGAATGGAATTTGACAATATAGATAACTGTTCTAAAAGCAGTAAATTGTTCATTATGATTAACTTTAAGTTGTTAATATATACATTATTTATTGTAAGAATCATACTGGTATGTTGTTTAATCTTAGATAAAAGTTGTGTTTGCAAATATGTATGATCCCGACATTTTGGAAGAAGATGAAGCAAGACGAGTGGTATCACATTACGAATACAGCGTACAGGATAGTTCATATGGAATATATCATTCTTGGTTGAAAGCAGATACTATAACCGCAGTAAACAGCTCTTTTGTACGTTAATATTTTTTTCTGAATTAGGTGTCTGATCATTGATCCGTAAAGGCACATTTTGGTAATTGAATGATGTCACCATTAATCTTCTGGAATTCTACTAACAGCTTTCTCACGTTCAACTTGCAATGCAAATGAAAATGATGCATTTGTTCTTCTTAATTTCTAATATAACATAATAAAAAATGATACTATTTAGTAAAGACGTTTAAATCTTAAGAAAAATTATCTTAAGCTGTGATTTTTTTCTGTTTGTAACAGACAATGTCGTTTAAATAAAACTTAATGACTAAACAGAAATAGAAAGTTATTCAAACATTATATTTGTATTTTTACCAGAGGCTTAATCGGAACGATGTACATCTTTACACCATAATCACAATCGTGGAAACATCAACTATTTTTATTACAGAAATTTAAAAAAAGGAAATTTTGGGGAAATAATCATATTTTTAGGAAAAATGTATTATTGGTTAAAATTCAAAGATAATTTTTACATAGTGTTTCACAGATTTTGCATGTATTCCACATGCATTAAAACTTTTTAAAAATGTTCACTTGCTCAGATTTTGTCATTGGTATAACATAAAGACAATAAGACAAAATATCATGTTGATTATATATTTTACAGTCACACTTTACAATCTATTTATTGGGTCAAATGGATTTTTCAAAATGTCGTATTATTGCCTTACGTGGATATAATAGAGCAGGTGTGTGGCAGACAGCATTTTCTGATATTAAACAATGCCAAGTACAAGCTGAAAATCAAATTATTGTCCCAAAAATAGTCGTAGATGCTACTGGAGAGCAGCAATTAAATGGAGGTATGTTAAAAAAAATTAAGTTTGTCTTTTTATTATTTTGCTGGTTATAGAACGTAAACGATTATGCCTTTCAATATTTTTTAATATAACAATAAACTATAAATTACAAAAATGATTTAAATAATATAAATCACATGTCATTTTTATGGATTTCAGATGAATCAATAAGAGATGGATATGGCAAAGAAATATATCTTGAAGAAAATGACAGATGGAATATTGAAGACGTGGATTACACTCCGTATAAAAACATTTTAAGTGGTGTGTGGCACTCACTTCGACATAAAGACTTCACTTGGGCAGTGATAGAAGTAAAAACATTAGATGCCGTAACATACTACAAGGATTTCAACAGTATTCATATTTCAGATCCATGTTCACATCCTGATGTTGTTACATGTGGACATACTGGTAAAATATTTACAAATTGCTACGACAATTGTTTTGTTTTGTTTTTTAATAAATGAATTTGGTTGCTGTCTTAAAGCGTTCATCTCACATTTCCTTTTATTCATAAATATAATAAAGAAAAGAAACAAAAAATCATATAAAAATAAGATGACTGCTTGTAAGCTATGGAAGGCCTCATCATGACAAAATTTTAAACAAATCAACCGAGAAAACCAGCACCCCGATTTTAGCCAAATCATTAAAAAAAAATCAAATACATGATAACGAAAAGTAAAACATATATATACGTTTAGTCACATTTTGCTGCACATGGTTAAGTCGTAAAATACCCCAAAATTTGTGTAATTGTGATAGTATTGTAAAGCATCATATGACACATAAATGAATTAAAGTTAAGTTTTTTTTTGTCAGTTTATTTTTTTCCGCTTGTTTGTTTTTTTTTTTGTAAAGTCAGATATTACTATTAGATATGACCAACTATAGGCAACCATTACATGATTAAATGTCAATTTTTTAATTTTGAGAATACTCATAAATATCGTACTTTGTACATATGTACACACCATTGATAAATCATATATGATCGATTTATTTCAGAGAATGCTTTTATAAACGTTTTATTTAATGACGACAATCCTCTAGAACACGGTAAACGTTACACTATATGCATTCACGCTCCATCAAAACCCATTCATCATGAGAAGTGGACAGAACTACTGGAGGAAATTAATGTTTGCAGTGATGGTATCACTGTTGATCTTACATCTCCTATAACAGGAAAAGTTTGGATTGGACCAGTTACAGAAATTCAGTACAAGGTATGTTAAATAATAATATAAGATAAATGTAAATTTGAATGTTTCTTACTTGACGACTGTGGTTTGTCACCACAAGAAAATCATTTTGCTAACGTGTCATTGTTGTATACCCTGTAAAAAAAATCATCATAGATACCAGGATTGAAATTGTGTACGCCAGAGACTGGTTTTGTCTACAAAAGACTCATCAGTGACGCTCGAAACAAACGAGATAAGAAGGGAAAATAAAATACGAAGTTGACGAATATAGAGGACCCAAATTTCCTAAAGATTTTGCCAAAAACAGCTAAAGTAATTATTCCTGAGTTTGAAAAATCCTTAGTATTTCAAATAATTCTTAGTTTTGTAAACAGTTATTTTTTATTAGTATGACTATGTCAATGATAAATCATGTCAACACGGAAGTGCCGACTACTGGGTTAAAGCACAGAATTGTGCATCATATTCCGAAATTGATTGAATATTATAAACTTGATGAAATCCAAATGTAGAGATGGACGGATAAGTGATAGACACACAAAATTGGCAAAGACACTTAGAACTGAAGCTTTGGACAAGACGAAAACCGGTGGTAATTTAAGGGACTCTTCAGTGGTAGGCATATTCTGATTCAAATAAGACAGTGGTTGTGACCAGTTTTCAAACCACTAGCAATAATTCGGTAAAAGAGAGACTGAAGATATTAAAGGGATATTAAAACCTATAAGTCGATGACGAACTTACAATGCTATGGCAACAAACCGAGAATCTGACCAAATAACAAACAGTAAATTATTCACTGAGCAACACGAACACCATTTAAAAACCGGGGGTGATCTCAGATACACTTGCCGGTATGTGTCATGCTAATATATTAATAAAAAGCAATGTAGGTAAGTATGAGTACGCTCTTACTGACATTCGTGGTCAATAATAAATTGACAAAAATTCCACATCAACAGAGTTAAGCTAGAGATTACCAATTTTACCACTCTCTAACCCAGGACCAGTCATTTGGTGAATTAGTATTGATAATTCCTAGTTAATTATTGCATTTTTTTCAAAATTGTCATTTTCAATATAGCGGACAAAAAAAAGAGTCAATAGAAGATTACCGATTAACTCATCATAGATACCAAGATTAAAAATATGTACGCCAGACGAGCGTTTCGTCTACCAAAGACTCATCAGTGTTAAAATCTCAGTAAACCATTAAGCATACACAAATCAAGGTAAACAAAAATAAGGGAATAGAATGTTTAAGTTAAAATTTTGCCATAATGTTGTGAGCTGTGCATATTGTGCAAGTTTGTATAGTGTGTTTTACTTTAATGTCACATGGTCTAGATTACGTCAGAAAGAGTATGCGTTTCCTTCTAAACATACATCACCCGACACGCGAATGCACACCAGTCCCGCAAAAGAAATGATCTACAAAAGAGAGGCGAAAGATACCAAAGGGACATTCAAACTCATTAATTGAAAATAAGGTTACAACGTCATGGCGTATAAATAAAAAAGGAAAAAAAAGACAAACAACAGTATAAAAAAACACAACATAGAAGACTGAGAAACACGAACCCCACTGAAACCGTGGGTGATCTCAGGTACTCCAGAGGTAGAAGCAGATCCTGACCCCTCAAGTTCTTAAAAACACACTTACAGCATCGCATTTCTATTAGATTTTTACCAGTTCACTAACCAGTTTGCTTGCACTAGTTTCAGACCACAACCTCTGATATTTTTGTAAATTGGGAATCGTTTTTGGATGTTGAAGAATATGGTACAGCAAGTCACAGTACTGGAATACGCCAATACCAAGTTGCTATTGGTAGGATGAATATGAAATAGTTCACTATTATTTTCTAAAATATTGGACAGTTCAATGTAACAATAAAATAGTCTGGTCAATGCAATCTGTGCTTGGGAGTAAATGATGAATCCATTTTGAATATACAAACCAAAGAGTGAAAAAATCAGGGAATCGAATGAAATCCAAGGGATTTTGATTTTTTTTAATATATTTGTTTGAAAAGCATGACATAATAACACATTGAACTATGTTTAATATAGATATTTCTTATCTTTGTAAAATACATTTATCAAGTAGTCTGAAACCGAAGAAACTATCGCAAACAAATTTAAAAAGTCAGTTAATTGGCTTGGTCGTTATCAACGTTAATACTACCTGCATGTTAGAAACAAATTGTGTGGACGAAATTTCGATAAATTGCAATTTACTGTTATGAAAATGCATTTTTTCGCCGCTTTTTACGTCTATTGTTTGTATTATAGATTTGTCTCTCAAATATTTTATTCTTTGCATCTGTGAAACTATAAATCCATTTTATTTTCATTTATAGGATCTGTGGAAGGCGGGTCAGATATAGTTGAATTCACAAATGTTGGTATTGTGAACCATGTAACATTTCACAATCTTAACTTACAGAACGGACATGATTATTTTGCATCTGTTAAAGGTATTTTTGTATATCTATTTACTTAAGAAGTTAAAAAATTGAAATTAACAGAATAAAAAGTTTACTAGATTTACCTCGTATTTCCAACCAAATACTGTTTTCATTATACTAATGATTGTTTGAGACAAAGATGTTTCAGGTTTACTAGTTAGAGGTGTCAGTCGACTTTATTTTGCAGTATTTACTATGTTTTTCCCTCTTATTTCTACCGAGAACTATTACTAGTCAGTTGTTAGAATCAAATCTGCTTATATTTAACACTTATATACAAAAAGTAAGTTAATTTACTTAAACATTATCAGCAAAGCAATATAATAATGCCTAACTATGAATTAAAAACTTCATAGTAAAACACAAATTCAACTGACGTTCAAATGTTAAAAAACCTTAGTTTAGATATGTGAATGATGAAAGGAAAGATAAAGAAATTTTGTTTCACGACATTTTTTTCTGTAAAACATACGCTCATATTATTGCGTCCATTCAATTTTAAGGAATTGATTTTTCTGGAAGAAGTTCTACAGCACACTCTGCTTCCGTAAGAGTAGATACCACTCCACCACATCTTACATCAAGACCTATTCTAATTGATGGCAGACATATTAGAAATTTTAGTGAAATTAACGCATGGTGAGTATAAAGACAATAACTTATTCAAATAGAGAGCTTAATCTTATAATTCTTTGAATGACAGAGAATGTTCAGATAGCTAAAAAAACTCATCCTAATTATATATATATCCTTAGTCAATCAAAATAGAACTTGAAAGACCTTCTAGTATTCATTCATTTTGTTACATGTTTATTTCAGCTGGAAAGATGTGTTTTACGACTTAGAAAGTGGAATTAGACAATATCTATTAGAAGTAGGCTCCAAACCAAACTTTGGAGATATTGTACAAACAATTGAGACAACTGAAGACTGTGGAGTTTCTATTCAGTATTTGGATATTAAAGCACACCAAGGACATCCATACTTTATTACAGTTAAGGTATGATACTTATTTTTAAACACTTTATGCATATGGACATTACTTTAATTCTATACAACATTTGCAAGGCATAGATCATCAACATTCACGTCAGTATCTTTACATCATCATTTCACTTTCAATAATGCTTCAATATAGGGAATATAAAAAAGAAGATGTGGTATGAATGCCAATGAGACAACTCTTTACAAGAGACCAAATGACACAGAAATTAACAACTGTAGGTCACCGTACGGCCTTCAACAATGAGCAAAGCCCATACTGCATTGTCAGCTATAAAAGGCCCCGAAATGACAAATGTAAAACAATTCGAACGAGAAAACTAACTGCTTAATTAATGTACAAAAAATGAACGAAAAACATATATGTATCACAGCAACAAACGACAACCACTGAATTACAGGCTCCTGATTTGGGACAGGCACATACATACAGAATGTGGTGGGGTTTTGAAAATAAAATTTAAGATCTTTACACAATAAGATAAACATGATATGTAAACTACGTTTTCCAAACTCAATACTTTACCCTAATTTCTTTTTTCTACTTATAGGCAGTCAATAAAGCAAATTTAGTAACAAGTGCATCCTCATGGGGTTACATTTATGATAAAACTCCACCAGAAGTTGGACAAGTGTTTGATGGATTTTTGCATGATATTAGGCTTACAAAGAAGGATATAGACTTTCAAACCAACTCAGCAAAGCTTGGTGCTCATTGGGAAAAATTCTATGACCCACATACAACAATAAAGACTTACAAAATCGCTATTGGAACTTGTGCTGGGTGTGATGATGTGTTACAAACACATGATATTGGATTGATACATGGTAAACCAAACTTAATTTATTTTGCTTCAATAAAATAAATATTGTATTATATTGTATACCCCTTATGATCAAGGCAGAGAGCTGCAAGATATTTAATCATTATTTTTTATTATATATGCAAATAACCATATACTATTTGGTAGAAAATCAGTAGCCGTTATGTTACAGGGTATTAATAAATCAAAATCAGAAGAGCAATACTTAATTGGTATATTCAGAAGCAACGAGACAGGTACATGTACATATCGTGAAAATCAAGACACGAACGAACATTGAACACACTAGGCAAAATGAACTCCACAAAAGAAAACGCGACGTTGAAATGATATAAAGGGTAAGAATATAATCCATCGCGTTCAACACCAAATGTACTGTCTAGTTATCAAAACCAGTAACTTGTCGACTTTGGGATGAGTAAACACCAAATAAAAAAATCATTGCACTGAGGAAAATATAAGTATAGTTATTGGCATGTCACTCGCATATTAAACAATGTGATAAACCAACCTGTATAAAAACTATTTTCCATGTTCCATTTACATTTGATTTCAGAGTTTGTTTTGAAAGGAATAAATATTGCTGTCGGTAGGCGATATTACACTACAGTCACTGCATGTAATACAGCTGACCTTTGTTCTTCGGTTACTTCTGATGGAGTCATTATTGACAACAGTCCTCCAAATATAGGAAAAATAAAGGATGGAGCAGATTATATCGACATAAATTATCAACCTTCAAGGTACTTATAAGTGACTTATAGAATTTATTGTGAAAATTGAAAAAAATTTAGTATTTCTGGGGCAATAAAAACTCATCTTACATACCAGACGTTTAATGTGTACGCCTGTCAGATTGAAGGCCAAATCAAATACTAAGTTGAAAAGTACAGAATGAAAAATTAGAAATGTATTAAGCATTATTTAGCTGATATCTTAAATCCTTAACAAAGAATTAATACAATGAAGTAGTATAAGTATTTTCAAATGTAAACAGGGAAAATTTTTAACGTAATAGAGATAATAATCTAAATTATTACATTGGTTGCAATGAATTACATTAATTTCCCAGTGAAATAAAAACCGATAATTTCACATGTGAAATAAACGTGGTTATTTCACTCCTCTGACGTCATACAACAATAGGCGTTGTCATGACGTCGGATCAAAACAAATTGTGAATGCTTGGAAAAGATATAGTTCCTTACATATTCTAGTTTAATTTCAGAAAAAAGACCATTTGCCAATGTAATAAAAAGAATAACTAATCAAAGAATTCAAATATCGAAAAATATTCAACTCGAGACCGAACAACACTGATAATTAACTCATGCGCTACGCGCATTCGTGAATTAATGTGTTGTTCGGTCACTCGTTGAATATTTTTCTCTATTTGAATTCTTCGATTAGTTATTCTATAATTAACGATATTTGTCTTTGTTTTATAGAGAAGAGTTTCTTTTGAATGTTTCAGGAACAACTAAACGCAATGGAAACAAAATAAAAATCAACCAGCTAAAAGCAAAAAAAAGAAAACAAAAAAAAACAGAAAAAACATTTAAACAAAATAGCAAAATCTCAGTGTTGTAGTTTTAGAGGGAAGACTTTATTAATCAAAAGAAAGAATGAAAGAGTAAATGTAGAATATGATACTGCCTTCAAGAACGAAAAACAAGTTGCTATTTCGAAAAGTGTTAGAAAAGTTTATGATTGCTTAAACGGCAACATATTTATGATTTGATATGATTTCAGATCATATGTGGCTGCAACTTGGCATGGTTTTAACGATCCGCAATCGGGTTTAGATAAATACTCCATTAGAGTGGGAACATCAATTGGAGGAAACGATATTATATCACAGACTGAATTGCCGTTGACGGATATAGTTGTGTTTCCAAATATAACTGATCCAATTCCAACTAACACCAGAATCTACGTCACTGTTCATGCATACAACAAAGCAGGTATTATGTCTATTACTGAGCTTGTTATAATGATTGATATATTTCATTTTCTTTGCTTATTTTTGTTACCTCGTCTAGACTTCTATACTCTCATCCATTTATCTCTGTCAAAACATTCTGATCTACAAAATGTTCCTTACAAAATCATTCAAAATTTCATACAAAAAAGAAATACTGTCAGAAGGTATAAAAAGAGCAAGCTATGCAAAAAAAATAATTAAAACATGTTATAAATTGCATGCGTCCGAAGCGCTTTTCTGGATTTACCTTCATCAGGAACGCTCAAAGCCGAATATTTGAATCCTATGCAACCTCATATCTAATTCACAAAGTATATTTGAACATATTTATCTTGTCAAATGCATGTAAACACACTATCAAAAGAGTCTGTTTTTTGGATGTTGCTTAATTCTTAATAGTGTATTCTAACAAACTTGACAAATGAAGGATACAAAAAAAGATTCCTCTTAAAAAGTATAAATTATGATATGATGTTTAATAATCTAATGAATATCATTAGATATGGATACGATTAATCATTCACTGTGTTTAAATAATATTGCTAATATTTCTTGTTAAACTGAATATTACGAACAAATACATGTTCTGAATGCTGTAGGTCTTTACTCTGAAGCAACATCAAATGGTTTCTTGGTTGATGATTCCTCTCCAATTTTCAGTAGCAAGCCTAAATTGTTTCAGCAGCTTGGATCAAGAAGGGAAAACTCAATTATTTATAGGAGTTGCATGAAAGTCTCGTGGGAAGTTAGTGACAAGGAGTCCTTCATTGAGAGACAGTATATATCAGTAAATTCACACAAGGGTGGTGAAATTAATTCAACTTCTACAGAGGTAATACAGTTTTTTTTCAATTTCTAAAATTGTATAGGTTAGATTGGTAAACAAAAATCTAACTGGTGTCATTGGTTTTTACAAGGTATAACTGTTATATTATTCCATATGGATTGAAAAAATCTATTGTTTGATAAACACAAAAGAGTCTGATAAATATGTTCTCAAAGTATTATAAATTACTTGCTCGAAAATGTGAAGAAGTCATATATTTTAACTTAAGTTTGATAAACAAAACCAGTAAAATAAACAAACTGGGCTTTTTTAATGCGTTTCATCTTAACAACAATTGTAAATCTTAATGAGATCATATCCCAATATAAATGATCGTAATGTGGTTTAGGTAAGACCTTTTTCCCATCGTCATTTCTGATACACATATTTCTTAGGGTCCGTTTTTTATTTTGCCATTTGATTAGGGACTTTCCTTTTTGAATTTTCCTCGGAGTTCAGTATTTTTGTGATTTTACTTTTTATAGGTTGTTTCTGATTGTATATTATCTGAATAAGGACCCGCCATCATGATTGTATTGATTTCCCGATTAAAGACAAATGCAAAGTAAAAAAGATCAACATTTATTATAAATATTGACTTAATGGATTGTTTCCATTAATTGTTTAACAGTATTGAGGTATGTATGGTTTTAGTATTAGTAAGTCATATGCTTTTATTCTTTTATATACTACAAAAGCTTAATGGAATTGTACGTGATTTTACTTATACAAGACTGAATCTACACGATGGGGGTGAATACTTTGTTACTGTTATTGCATGTAACGGAGCGAAAGTCTGTGTAACAGAGACATCTGGTGGAATTTTCGTCGACAATTCACCTCCAATTACAGGTAAAATCATTAGTTTTCAAAATCACGTGTCTTCATATTATTGCTTTTTCGTATTTCATTGTGCATCTTTACTCCAGTAGTTAACAGATGGAAATATCCTTTTTTTTTCAAAAACAAAGCAAAATATATCTTTCGATATTGATAATGTGAAAATGATTGATTTATTCACTAAATATGATATTAGTAACATTAATTACCGAAAATATAAATAAAAAATAGTAAATTGTAGTTTTGTAGCAAATTTCGCGAAAGGTTCGTCATTTTGATGAAACATTTTGCAATGAAAAAATATTCCCTTTTCTCAAAAACCTTGATCGCTATTGTCCATAGCACCAACTGGAATACTGTAGATGATAAAGTGGTTTGCCGGGTATCATTCAAATATTTATTTATTTGGATATTCACGCATCTTGAATATCATAACACACATTATGTTTTGAAGGAACGTTTGCTATTGAAACGGACCATGCTGCTAAATTGAATCGCCATGTTGATGGTTGGTGGATGAAATGGTCAACATTCAAATTATGGTTGTCATGGATAGGTTTTTCTGATCTTCATTCTGGTATAGACTACTATATGGTATCAGTTGGTAGTAGATATATGCTTGATGATCTTAATAGTGTAAGATTTGATATCAAATTAATAATATGATGACTGAAATGTTTTCATTTACCCAGTAAAATTAAGAATAAAGTACATCGTTTTTTAGATTTACGAATTCCATTAATATATTCATTGCTATTTCAACATTCACCCTTTAACCCCTTAAAAAAATCCCCAAAACATCTTACTGAAGCTAATAATATATATACAGTGTATATGTGTATATATACGGGTACTTGATGTTTTCGAAGGTGAACCTGACCGCATCCAGTATTCGAAACTTTTCTTCAGCAGTAAATGAAGTTGATTTTTAGCTCACCTGGCCCAATAGGCCAAGTGAGCTTTTCTCATCACTTGGCGTCCGTCGTCCGTCGTCCGTTAACTTTTACAAAAATCTTCTCCTCTGAAAATACGGGGCCAAATTTAACAAAACTTGGCCACAATCATCATTGGGGTATCTAAATTAAAAAATATGGCCGATGATCCGGCTCACCAACCAACATGGCCGACATGGCTAAAAATAGAACATAAGGGTAAAATGTAGATTTTGGCTTATATCTCTAAAACCAAAGCATTGAGAGCAAATCTGACGGGGTAAAATTATTCATCAGATCAAGATATATCTGCCCTTAAATTTTCAGACAAATCAGACAACCCATTGTTGGGTTGCTGCCCCTGAATTGGTAATTTAATGAAAATTTTGCATTTTTTGGTTATTATCTTCAATATAATTATAAATAGAGATAAACTGTAAACAGCAATAATGTACAGCAAAGTAAGATCTACAAATAAGTCACATGACCAAAATGGTCAATTGACCCCTTAAGGAGTTATTGCCCTTTATAGTCAATTTTTAACAATATTTTGTAAATTTTTGTAATCTTTTACAAAAATCTTCTCCTCTGAAACTACTGCGACAAATTTAACCAAACTTGGCCACAATCATCATTAGGATATCTGGTTTAAAAAATGTGTCCGATGACCCCGCTTCCAACCAACATGGTTAAAAATAGAACCTGGGGTAAAATGCAAGTTTTGTCTATTATTTTTGAACCGTTATAAATAGAGAAAATCTGAAAGGAGCAAAAATTTTCAGAATAATGAGCTCTACCAATTGTCCATATACGTCAAAACTGTTAGACAAATTCTTATGGGAGTTATTGCCAATAAATGACAAATTTTACCGTTTTTCATTTTTGCATATTATCATGAAAACTATGATTTTTAGAGAGAAACATTTTTTTCTGTTATGCCTTATATGACTTAAATCATAATAGATGAATAGACACTTTAAATCACAAAAATGATCAGCAAGGCAAGATCTATTAAAAAGTCAAATTTGGCCGATATAGTTAGTAGACTGTCACTCTTCATAGGAGTGATTGCCTTTAAATGAGGATTTTTTTTTACACTCTTTTGTGTTCTGAGCAAAAACTAAAGAAGATAGAGAAAAACTAAACAGACTTAAAGATCAGTAATACAAGATCAACAAAATAGAGATTTTTGTCATGAAGTCTCTTCTCGTCTACAATGTTGGAGAGTGTCCTTTGTTTGATATGCACATAGACCAAGGTGAGCGACTCAGGCTCTTTAGAGCCTCTAGTTATTTTATCAGATTGCTATCTGTATTTTGCACTTGCAAAAGAGGAGATACTATGTAATTTACCCATCATATCATCTTTGGAAGGCATTTCCATGTCTTATTCCTCCTAGGTCTTTGTGCGTATTGAATCATAAAAACACGTTATAACCCCCAAATAGCAGTTGTAAATGCAATAAAATAATATCAAATTAATTTGTGAATAAGACTATATGAACAAGTGCGTTAAGGATGAACTTAGTACAAGCAAACAAAATAAGCTTACTATTAGTTATGTATATCTTGATGTTATGAAGCCCCATTGATAGAGAAAACGCCTATCGTTTCATGTGCATTCATTTACGTTCCACGTTCGGTACACATATATGTATGTTTGTAGGATAATAAACCAGAGATATTTCAACACGATGGTGATGGTATAGACAAGGGAGACGAGGGTAAAGTGCAGACTTTTGAAGTAGATACAACAAAATTAACTGACTATGATTATGTGTTTATCAGTGTTTGGGCATTTAATAAAGTAAGACATTATTTATCGAAGGTCAAATTTCAACATAAAAATGACAAAAAAATAATCTTGGGGAATATCAGGACCTCCAAAGGAACGAAACCGGATTCACCTACATAGTACGGTAAAAAAACTAATCAAAGATAGCAGGCTTATAATTTTTTACACCAGACGCCCGTTTCGTGTACAAAAGACCCATCAGTGACGCTCTAATCTAAGACGTTAAAAGATTACATAAAGTACATAGTTGAAGAGCATTTAAGACCTAAAATGTCAAAATAATTTGCCAAATACAGCATTCATTTCTTGGGTAGAACATCCTTGAAGGTCTCCTGCTGGGTATGCAGTATTAAAAGTTAATAAATAAACTAAAATGAATGAATGGTCAAGTTTCAAAATTAAAATCTGTTTTTTCTCAAACAACATTTCTTATGGTTCTCAATTTGCTTTAATATTTAAAACACTTTTAGCATCAAGGATGCACAGTAAAAATAAAATCCGTTTAACTTTTCTAGTCAATGAACATATGATTTTACACATGGTGAAATCAAAACTATCACATTGGAAATCATTGTAACCATAGATGATTTACAGATACTCTTTTTTAATTTGACTTATAGTATTTAAATTTAATTAGTTTGCTCGTCACTTTTAAATTGGGTGTTAAATCCCAAACAATTCAGGCGATAATTTAAGCTTGGGCAACATATATTTCGACGTTAGTATTTGTTTACCTGGAGATACAGTTTGTTCTCTACTTCACAGCTGGATAAGACAAAGCTACAATGACCAATTACTTAGGAATGTTCGTATTATGCCATTATAAGCCAACTAGTACTTTTTGTCATAACAAGGAGTATATGTGATGTTGTCGTTGCTTATATAGCTTATATAGCTACAGGCAAATATAAACACACCGTATGAATATGAAAAAATCTACTACCAAACATTTTAGGTTATTGTTCATTTCTTTTATCTAGGTTGGACTTCAAAGTGACATGATTCATAACCAATTCCGTTTGATTCCTGGTGGTTCACTTGAGTTGATAAGACGATGTTCTTCTAATACATGCCTAGGACACTGTGTATGTGCACCAAAAGATCAAAGATGTCCAATTGAAGAATCGCCTTGTGTAGACAGTACACATAGTAAGATAGTATTATATGGGTGTATTTGTATCTATTTAACGAAAGTTAAGTTATTACAACAGAGACTGCGTAATCCCCAATGAATAGCACTGTCAAATTCGAACTGGTATCATTCTTAAATTTCAAAGTTAACGAAGGTTAAGTTGTTAAAACTGAGGCTGCGTATATATACATCCCAAATGAATAGCATTGTGCGATTTTCCTGGTATAATTCTAAAATTTCAAAGTTGATGAAGGTTAAGGAATTACAACAGAGACTGCGTATTTATACATCTCAAATGAACATGATGAATATCACTGTCCGATTTGAACAACACAATTCTAAAATTACAAAGTTGACAAACGTTAAGTATTAAAAAAGAGGCTGTGTACTTATACATTCCAAATGAATAGCACTGTTTGATTTGAACCGGTATAATTATCTAATTACAAAGTTGACGAAGGTAAAGGAATTAAAACAGTTCAACTTAAAATAGAAAGTTATTTTATAGGTTTCGTTTAAGGTTTTCAGATTGAATTATGCGTCTTATATTAGAATTATTGCTCTCAAGTTTGAACAACTTTCAATCTGTTTTGATTTTACGAAATGAATTTGTAGTTAGATTGTCATCTCTTAAAAAGTTTTGTAAAAAGTAAACGTAAACATGTTTAACAATTTTCAGATAACACAAACACCTTAATTGCTATATATGATCTGACTGATTTACGACAAGGAGAATTAGAGGATGTTAACTTCACGCCATCACATGACGCACTAGCAGCTAGATGGAGAATAGTTCAAATTCAGGGTTTATTACCACAATGGTAGGTACATAAGGCTTTTATAAAGAGTAAATATAAATGAGATATTTTATTGAGTCAGGTTAAATGTTATATGGAAATATGTGATGCAATAAGACACATGCTTGTTAGTGTAAACAACTTGTAAATTCCTGGATCTTATATATGGGATGATTATATCATAAATTATGTTTCAAAACTAAAATTCTCAAGTCTGCATATAGCTATTTTATAAATTTAAAATGATCTTTCTTGATATACAATCTTTTAGTTCTCTTTTCTTTCTTTTCATTTGCTTATTAAGAGTGCATTTCTTTCTAACAAAAATTTTGTAAACGTTGTGTGGCGTTTGTTATCGTTTGCTAAACGCTACAAAAGAAGAAACAAATACATCGTTTAATCCGTGTTTTCTGACTCTGTTTTGAACTTTCAATAATGCATGCACGTGTTGTTGGTAAACAGATGTATCCCCATAAGTGAAATCAAATTCGAACCATTCTAAAATATTACAAGAAAGGTAAAATATAGGGGGTACTTGATGAGTATAGGCCTAGGTCTACATGACCATAACCGAAACACCTCTTTGTAATACTGGTAATAAAAATACATACCAGATATGAATTTCTTTTCTTAAAATACACACATAAGTCTCATACTACAAGCATGCAAGTATGAATTATGAAAAATGTATTCAACAAGAAAAAATATGTATCATTCACAGAGTTATACCAGCTCTAAGTTACTCTAAATATATGCACATAGAAAATGGATGAATTACGAAGGATTATAATTATATATACTGGATTGGCCTGGTAGACCCGATTGATTTTAATATATTAAAGGTTGAAGTTAGAAACAAATGTAGCGTTTGTACTAACAAACGACTACGACAAACTGCAGACGCATTTTTAGCGAGTGCACAGTTTGTCAAAGTTTATGTAAATTTTGCAAACGTATGTTTGAAACAAATGATCAAAACATGTGCGCGCTTAGTCGTTTGCATTGTTTGTGCTAGAAAGAAATGCACTCTTAGTATCATATGTTTATTTAATTTATTGATGAAACATTTTACTTAAAAAGCTATAAAATAATTATCATATTTTTTAAACATGTTCATGAATTTGACACATAATAATTGGTTTCTATCCTAAAAAAAAAAAAAGAAAACCTGGTGCTTATTAGGAGAAACCATCAATCTGTAATTGTACATTCATTGCATGGCAAATATTAGTTTGATTGAGGAAGATCATAAACTAGCAAGACAAAATGAATACACTTATTTAGGTGTTTTTGTTACTCGAGTCGCTGGAATAAACTTAAAGACATTCGCAAATATGTTATAATCGCCTACAATGCACATGATGTGAATGTATCTTTTTTGGAGATCATTCAATTGAACAATATACACATCTGAATTGTATGTTGACTTCAGGTATGAATGGAGCGTAGGAGTAACAGACTCTAATGAACCAGAAGGGATAATTGACGGCTCTGTGGAGAATATTTGGCATCCTTGTGGTCAGATAGATTATGTTATCTACACTTTGCCTAGAGGTAGCTCTACATTAGTATATTATATATTTGTTGGACCTATCTAATATTTTGATATTCAGTAAATATATAATTTAAGATATTATCTTACTGTGAATACATTTAATTTTCGTCAGTAACAATTTTCATGGACTGAAAAGAAGTTTTTATGTAAAAATGGCTCAACAAATAACAGTACCGCTAATTATCAAACAAGACGATGTCTGGAGTAACTTATCATATTCCCTTGTACAATCTGATTTCAAAGGTCTGTAAGTAAATTGTAAAAGAATAGTTTTCACTTTGAAATCAAAACTCAACAACTGGTAAAGGATATGATTTGAAATATGAAGTCTTAAAATATGTACAAAAATAACTCGATAGTTTCAAATAAAGAAAGAACTTACAGAGAAGCATTTAAGATTGAATAATAGTATCACTGTTACATTATAAAATAATAAAGAAAAGGCACAATTTATGTTAAAGAAATGTTGCAAAACTATTCATAATTTTAAAAGTCTTACCAACAGCTCTAATTCGATTTATACTTTCCTTTAAGAATTCACAAATCATAGTCGTCATCAGACTTTTTAACACATTTACAGGATACACATCTTATGAAACCGATTACCTTGACAACGTTTTCAGAAAACATAAGGATAAAGGATATATATAGTAGGACAAATAGCATGTAACATTTAAATTATAACTAGATCATTCTGTTTGTTAAATTTGTATTTGTCTATCTCGATCAATCATTTTCATCTAACATATCCATTATTACCATACAATTTGCTATCCACTCTATACAGTATACAATAAATCTGGAAAAAAAATTAATATATTTAAATATTTAACAAACAGTTTCAAATTTTTATGTTTAGCACAGAGTCGGTCAGTAGTATATAGTAAAAATGGAAATCACGTATGAAGATATTTTTTGTATTTCAGGAAAAGTTCTAAATGACTTTCAGAGATACTCATTCTATGTAAGAGCATGGTATGACAGCAACACTTTTGCTGACTTTAAATCTGATGGTGTTACAGTTATGTCAAAACCGTTGACGACAACGAGCTTTGTTGGTGCAGGGGTAAGAAATTTATCCACCGTTAAAATAAAATCTTTATTACGTTGTCACGAAAGACTTAACGTGTATTCACATCAGATTGAGCACATATACAACTTTGCATTATTATACTTGACTATTAAAGACAATTCTCCGTTACCAAATCTAAATGACTATGGGTAATTTTTATTGTTCATAACCCAAAATGAAAAAAAAATCACATATCTGGTTGAATTTTTGATGTTTATGACGTTTTTTATCAATCACAACGTTTGTGTGGACGCTTTAGAAAAAAATAACGACAAAACATTATATTTTGAAACGGCCAATTTGTCACATTAAGGAATACATGCATTTCTCGATTATACATCTATGATTATAGGTAACATTATTTAAACAATAATGTGTTATAAAGTATCATTCAAAGATGAGAAGTTTTTTTTTTAATTTTGCAAAAATGCAAAAGAATACTTGTAAAGAAACATAGTTTGCTATGGAATACAGATTAACAATATAAACAAAGGAGATGTAAGGAGAATGTTAAGGTGAGCAACCCAACAGCGCTCCTAGCCGAAATACATTTAAACAGTTTTCCTGTACCTTATAAACCAATTGTTTTGTTGAGAAATTTTACAATTTAGGGTTCTCGGAACCATTAATAATATTGTTGGGACATGGTTTATGTATAAAAATAATGTAAAAGTAATACAGTAAGTAAATATTTTAGGTAATGGAACATTTACCTGGCCACTGGAAGAAAGATGTTGATTATATGCTACGAGGCGGGCTATTTTCTGTTTCATGGCATGAAGCATTTATAAAGGCTAGCACTGTTATAGAGAAATTTCATGTTTATTTGAGTACCTACCCGGGAGGTATGTATTATATTTAATAGCAGAAACAATGTATGTTTACAATAATGTATGTTTTAAAGTTCCTTTCATTATTACAAGAAACATGTTCTGATTAATGGGACTGGAGAACATCAACTTTGATGAAAAATTAGCATCTCTTTTCGGCAACTTTCGTGACCAAAATTGTACTTGGAAGAACATTGTTGTTCTATTTAGACTGTACATATACCAGTTTATTTATCAGCGTATTTGCTTTGTCTATAATTCAACATTACTTAGTATGATAGTATAGCCCCTGAGTAACTGCCGTCTGAAACACCAATACAATTGAGTAAAGAGCATTTCAAAATTGATTTTCTTCTCTCTACCTTTTAATTTTCGATTGGTGAATTAAATAAAAAACAGGTAAGACTGAGTACCTACAAAACAAGTTTTGATCCTATACAAAGTTACAAATCATATGGTTGTCTTTTATCTTAGTTATTTCGTCCTTAGAGGAATTTGTTTTGTTTTTAAGAAGTACCTATAATCCTATACAGATATTCAACTCCCCTCAGACCAGTTGGAATTGGGGTAGTCTTGTCAAACGTTGTGCCGGTAAGGCCAAACAAAGTATACAGTTTTAGTTTCAAGAGGGACGCAAATAAGGAATATGACTTATTTTCAAGCAGTATAATGTGGCAACTACCCTAAAGTTTAGTCGGGATATGACTAATCATTTATCGATGACCCAAAGGATTTTTAATTTTTTCGCAGGTAACAAAATGTTGTTCCTTATTTTAATACAATATTTTATCCGTAATCAACTGGAAAATTTCCCCTCAACATAAGCCTGGTTAAGCTGGATCAATGAAATTCCTGCCCTTTTTAATGAAACAAAACCAAATATGCTACAATTTTGGGTTGCTACTGCCATACACATCTTTATTGTCCTGCAGTATAAATGGGCAATACATCCAAACCCATTTCAGTTACGGGAACAATGGTCCATACACGTTTTCGAAGTCACAAGCTAAAGTGTTACGCATTTGGGTGTTCTAGCCGGGGACATATAACTTGATGATCTTTCCCCCTTCATCTTCATCTCTATCATCAGATCTCTTTAGCCAACACAATGAAGTGTAAATGATGATAAGGAGATCGGGTGAAGAGTTTGTGTTTTATATACAGAACTTTGCTTTCACAGTTTAAAGACAATATACAATAGTAAAATATCTATTAAGAGATCATTTGTTTTGAAAAGTTCGTGGGTGACATGCAATTAACAGTTGTTTACAAGATGAACCTCCTTTCTTTAAAATATTGTTACGTTTGTTTATTTACTTTACTAAACTTAGAGATATCTTTTCATAATATAGTTTCGTAGTCATTTTATATGTTCATATTGCGTACTAGTAATATGTTATATACATGTCATCGTGGTCATTGTGAGTTATTGCTTGTGTATCCAGCATATACATTTCTTACAGGTCATGACATACACAAAGTTGAAATAGACATTCCAGGATCAGTATCAACGGTTAATATTAGCCGAGTCCCCCTATTACCCGGTGTTTGGTATTATTCTAATGTAGTTGGTTACAGTTATGCTGGACAGCACGTGACACTGTCATCAGATGGGTTTACTGTAGATATAGATAAACCTTTAATGGGAGTTGTGCATGACGGCATCGGTTAGTTTATTCGTGTATGACTGTAATGAAACAATAATGCATTTGAAGACAACAATTTGAATATGAATAAATAATTGCAAACTAGTATCTCAAAAAAACAGGATTTCGTTTTCGTTAACAGTATATTTCAATTTCCATAGTAAGATCTACAAATTAACTTGAAAATAATGAGATATCAACATGATCAAGAACGAAACAGATTAAGATTCGCACTTTTGTCATAAAATTCTCAATTTTACTCTAGAGACAGTTTTCCAAAAACATTTTCATATTTTGTAGGACATAGGGAAATTGATTTTCAAAACAGTTCACAGGTTGTTGGTGCATCCTGGAGTGGTTTTGTAGATCACGACTCTGGTATTCAGAAGTATTACTGGTGCGTTCAATTTGAAATTACAAAAACGGAATGTGATGTGCTACCTTTTCAAAATGTTGGTATTCAAAGATCAGTATCCAAATCTATCAACTCGTCTATGATACACTCAGGTAATAAATTACGGCCACATAAGTCTACCGATGATCAAATCTCACAAAACAATTAAGACGACAAATCATGGCAAAATACAAAAACAAGGGAATCGCATATTAAAATAAAAAAAAAAAAAAAAGATTCCACGACCTTCAGAAGTATAAAAAATCTACATAACGACACGGAAAATAAATTTATGAGAAATGTGAAGTTTTTTATTTTGTCCTTTTTTATAGTGTGTGTCCAATACGTTCTTAAACAAAATATTAAATCAAATTTGCAAGAAAAACATAAATACATTTTTTAATATATGATGATTGGACCAACTTTTGCGTGAAACCTACATACAATTATTTAAAAATGCACACTTCTTTCTTAAGTATTATTTTCAATTAATAGTTATTAGTAGAAATTGTTAATCATTTTAAAAGTATTCTGTAATATTGCGATAGAAAGCAGAAGACATAAGAACTGGAAAATAATCAAATAAATAATATGAGAAATTAGTCTATAAGCAGTAAAATTTTATGCAAAATATCAGATCTCTTGTCTTGTAAGTTCTTTTTATATTCTAGGGGCTAAGGTAGTCAGTAAAGTATATGCAGTTGATTTTGTTGGCCATTTATCGGACATTGCAACATCGGACGGTATTACAATTGATGAAACCCCACCAAAACCGATAAAGCTGATTTTCACTGAAAACAGTATGATAAAGAACCCATCATTTGAAGACGGGGACAATGATTTTGTAGACATTTCAAACATTACTACAGCTTATATTTGTGGATATACAAAACCATATTACTGGAATTCTTCCGATAAGGATTGTATTTGCGTCATGGGTTCTTCAAAATCTATTGCTATGGATGGTCGATCATTTTTATTTCTCAGGGGAAGTGTATTGCAGACATTATATAACTTAGAAACAGGCAAATCTTATAGTATCAAATTCTTTATTGCTCATGTCCCCTTTGAAGATTCAGTGCTTTCTACAAAAGAAGGTTATATTGAATTTGGAAGTGAAAGACATGTGTTTCTTGTGTACAAAAAACAAGACAAACATGGTTCTGACATTGAAATATCCTGGCATTCTCATACATTTTTCTTTACCGCAAAGAATACAAATGTTAATATTTCATTTGGAAGCATGGACGACACAACAGGCATTTTACTCGATAACATTCAAATTTCTAAGGCTGAAGTATTTGATGTTGATACGGACTCTTATCCAGTTTTATCTCACGCAACTTGGCTACACGAATGGTCATCAATACACGCCTCATGGCAATTTGTTGATGAGGAAAGTCCTATTGTAGAATATCTCTGGGCTATTGGTAAGTTTATTTCGAAGGGTTACTAAATATTTATCAGAATTATGTTTGGTCCAATCCTTGGAAGCTTAAAAATGGGTATATTTTGTTATTTTTATATAACCTATCTATACAGTTACTAGCAAGTCACATTTTTTAACATAAGATATTACGTGTACTCATTAACTGATGGCATCATACAGTGATATTACAATGTATTTCAATGAATATAAGAAATTCATAAAACAATAAAAGGCTTATAATTTGGTACATCAGGCAAACGTTTTGTCTAGATACGACTCATTAAATCAGAACAGTTGGAAAGTAAATACAAAGTATAAAAAGTACAAAGCTGTGATTGTAAAAAAACAAGGTAAAGGATTTGACTTTATATTGTAGGTAATTTTGACCAAAAGCACGTCATGATGTCCCTTTTTAGGCATTATTAATGAAATTAACATTATTTGAAAGGTTACAAAGAAGGAAGCACAGAAATACAGAGATATAAAAGTGTTGGACTAAACACATTCGCTTACAATTATAATATTACATTAGCACATACGTCTACAATTCACATAACAGTTGTTTCCATCAATGGTGCTGGGTTGTCTTCAGTAGCCACAGCAGAAGCCCTTTATATTGACCTGACACCTCCTGATATAGAATTCATTTATGATGGAATTGGTAAGTACAGAAGATAAACAGTTTGATCAGTAAGGTATCGACCGTTCATTTTATGGGTGGGACATGTTTTTTTTTCCAAGAGAATGTTTGTTCCCACTGTAACTAAAACCAAACTATTAGTTTCTATAACATTTAAGAAACCATTTTGTTTTAAAACTCAATGTTCTAGTATTCCCCTAATTTAAAATGAAATCCAGCTATATATTTATTTTATTTTCCTTCAGAACTTTTTTGTGTATTAGAAATTTATGATCAAATTTTTTGTTTAAAACAAAGCCCACACCCCTACAAAAGATAAATGGTCGGTGTTATACGCACCATACCAATAGTAGGCATGATAATTTCTAAGACCATAAGTTGTTAAGGAAATGAAATCATGGTCATTAACGCATTGCGTACAAAGGATAACAGAAATAACCAAACAAATGTACAGTACAACATTCCATACCAATAACACGCATCAGTTTTCTCAGAAAAGGATAGACGCACAAAGTCAAACAACAACGATCAACACACAGTAGAGCCAGACTTTCTATTCGTGGTCTTAGATCTTTAGATACCCTGAATAGTCCGATCTGAAAATTAATCCATAGCTGATCGTGACATTGTGTCTGAGTGGGGATTTGCATTGCGAGTGATGCAAGCATGGCAGGAGACGCTTATCCTGTCGACGTACCCGGTCTAGCTTCTTTTTGAGTTAATGCGATTACCTCAGTTTTTGTTTGCTACCTTGATTTGCATCTACCAAATGAATTTATGAGATTTGAACATCAGTGAACTCCTGTTGTATCTAATTTGGTATAAGCACAAAATGGGGTGGGCTTAATCTAGACCATATGTTGTAAAAACATAACACATAATACAAACCTGCACAATGTAGCTACCAACAGTACGTTTAACTAGAAAAGGGAAATAAAAGATGACACATAAATTAGAAGGCAGCGTCAAATTTGGTTTTCTTCTATGGGAAGTAATGTTTATCTAATGGTAGATCCAACATTTCGAGTTCTACGCTTTAATTCGGAGAATCACAAAAACAAAACGGCATCTATAAATCAATGAGCGAGATATGAACATCGATAATTGTCGCGTTGATTATGCTTTTTTTCAAATAATTTAACAATAACGATATGTTTTTCTTGTGTATTTGATTCTATCAAATACCAAATTTATTTGCAAATGTTTCTCATGTTATTAAGTGTAAAAGTTGAGAGTTCTCATAACTGCATTAAACAGTGCTCTACAACAATTAGTTTATAAAATTATACGAAAAAAAGTACAATGTACTTTAAGCGAGAAGTGTAGATTCTAAGCAACTTGTCAATGAAAGTTCGAATGAATCCTGGTACTCTTTTTATTTTAATGGCCTTAATGTCAACTTCGTCTGAGCGAAAAAATTAGTAGCATACAATAGGTTTACCAACGCTATCAATGATTAAAAAAAGATTGGTTTGAGTGATTTTAATAACATTTATGAACAAGGAAAACACCTTTTGTGTAATACTTAGTTGGATAAGTTCTAATAATCTTATCGTTACATATAGGATATGATATAGACAGTCAAACAACGGATGAAATCATTGCTAACTGGAGGGTAGAAGATCTAGAGTCAGGATTATCGCACTGTGAATGGGCAATTGGTAAGTTATACTGCTTCATAAAAAAAATCACAAAATACATGATATTTGTAATAAACTTTCGGAATATGAATAAAGCAACTAGCTTAAAACTTATATTTTTCTAACTATTTTCTAAGCATAAATGCAAGTAGTCTGACTAAAATCAGCAGCAGTAGATGAAGGCAGTTCGGATTTGTATTTAAAATGCATGATTATGAATTGAATTTCGTTGCACATTTGCTGTAACTATACACCCAAAGAGCAATGTCTCTGTTATTTTAATTTCTCTTTCAGTGTTAATATTATTGCGCAAGTATTGTATCAAATATTCATTTAAGGTAGCGGGAGAATAACTTTTTTGTGCAATAACGTAAAATTTACAATCAGAAATTAGTATATTTTTTAATAAATGCAAACATCCCTCTAAGAATAAGCTGTCTGCATTTTTTGTTAGAAAATTGCAGTTCTGCACTTAAAACTTAAATCTTATTGATAGGTTTTAGTGAATTTGGTAATGAGATCCAACCGTTTGTCCGAATATCGGCTGAACTGTCATCTGTATCTAAAGTATTTGACCATAGTATGTTGTCATTAAAGACAGTTCATGTAACACTACGGTGTCACAATAAGGCCGGTTTACACAGCAAAAAATCATCCGACGGAGTAACAATATCAGACAGTCCTCCATCTATACAGAATGCTCAGGTTCAAATTCTGGACCAACCAATTACGGAATACAAAAGTAAACCAAACTTCCATGGAAACACCTCTACTGTGCGGTTGAAGTTGATGGGTTTTGAGGATAAGTCAGGCTTAGATTCATTTCTTGTAAGTAGATAATCACTTTTTTTTAAATCTCGGGTACACGTTAAACACATATATTACTGTCTGCCACGATATTCAAATATACAGTGTCTTTTGGTGTTGATGCTCCATTTTTAATTTTGTATTTACTTTTTTTACCATAATGTCTCAAACATTCCTTATGAAAGCTTTGCATAAAATACATGCGGTGCATGAAAACGATACGTTTATAGCCATATCAACGAAGTAAACCAGTAAAACATAAGGCAATTTCTTATTTTTACATAGAAACTAAAGGCTGTAATGAGCCTGTGTCGCTCACCTTAGTCTATGTGCATATCAAACAAAGGACACTCTCCAACATTGTAGACGAGAATAGAATTCATGACAAAAATCTCTGTTTTGTTGATCTTGTATTGCTGATCATTTAGTCTGTTTAGTTTCTCTCTATTTTCTTTAGTTTTTGCTCAAAACACAAAAGAGGGTAAAAAAAATCCAGATTTAAGGGCAATCACTCCTATTAAGAGTGACTGTCTACTACCTTTATCGGCAAAATTTGACCCGTTAGTAGATCTTGCCTTGCTGATAATTTTTGTGATTGAAAGTGTGTATTTATCTATTGTATTTTTTATCATGTAAGGCAAAACGCAAAAAAAAAATGGTAAAAATCATCATTAAAGGGCTATAATTCCAATAAGGAGTCGTCGGACGATTTCCTCTATTTGTCTTAATTGTAGATAATCAAAGGGCAATAACTCTAATAAGGTGTCGTCTGTCGATTTCGACCATGTGAAAATTATTTGTAGAACTTGTCTTGTTGGTCATTTTTGCAAAGGTAAAATTTTTTTAAAAGTTTTCAAGATAATAGGCTAAAATGAAAAAAATGGTAAATTTTGTCATTTAAGAGCAATAACTCCTATAAGAAGTCGTCTGACAGTTTTGACGTATATAGACAATTGGTAGAGCTCAACATTCTGAACATTTTTGCCTTTGTTAGATTTTCTCTACTCATAGCAGTTTTCAAGATAATAGTGAAACTTGAATTTTACCCCTTTTATTGCATTTATGTTGCTTGGCAGGCGGGGTCATCGGATACATTTCAAAACTAGATACCCCATTAATGATTGTTGCTAAGTTTGGTGAAATTTGGCCCAGTAGTTTTAGAGGAGAAGATTTTTCGTAAAAGTTAATGGACGACGGACGACGGACGACGGACGCCAAGTGATGAGAAAAGCTCACTTGGCCCATTCGGCCAGGTGAGCTAAAAAGTGGCCATAGAATGGTTTTAATTTTCAAACTTTTCATCGTTCCATTGCATATTATTTGTTTGGAATAATTGTCATCAATATCAATTATTTACAACTTGTGACCGATCAACTCTAATCTATCAAAATGAATATCCCTTTTACTTAAGATAATGAGTTGTCTCCATTTTTCATATTCTTTTGTTCGTGCACCTTGGGTAACAATGCAGCAAAGAAAGGGGAGAGGTGCAATTAGGCACAGAAATAAAAAAAAATACATGTACCCCCTTACTCAACTGGTGCATGTATTCTATTGTCTTTTTGAAATTGAAATATAAAGTTAAGTTACTTTACATTTAATATAGTACATGATTTTTTTTTCATTGCCGGCTGTGAGATTTGAACATGATCTCTCTGCTGTCAGCTGGTCTATCTTACCACCGTACCACAGGGAGCATTGAAATATAAGTATTAAAGTCTAATGCTTAGGAAGTGAGAAAAACACAACATAATTCAGCTTCATTTTTTGTATGAAATAATGAGGACGAGTCTGCCTATTGTTTTCTTGACATATACATTGGTCCTTCATTTAAGCGAGAGTGTTTTCAACATTACCATAAGCAAGCACTTCACAAATAACGTTTTGTTACTCCTGTTTCAACTAACCTAACAATTCTTAGGATATTTTCGGGTTTTATGTCTCTTTTTCAATTCATCCTGTAAGAAAATAACACAAAATGTTGAGGACATTTTGAGTTTGTCCTCACTGTATGTACACTATAAATAACATATGTCGCGCGTGTAAATTAACAGTCTAAGAAAATTGGTACTTTTAGTGTTATTACATTTTAATACTTCTAAGACAAATATTCTGTTAAAATCATATAACGAAAACAGTTTACACAGATAAAAGGTTTTCAAAAGTCATACTCATCCTTCTATATACAATCATCTTGATGAACTGATAAAAATTCACTGTTTGGCAAACAATTCTAAAAAGTAAATTAGACAGTCTCGAAAGAAGGAAGTCCTCATCACATTATAACAGAACATACTTTATATATTAAAGGTTGAATTTGAAAACCAAGACAAGACGGTTTCTTTATCAAAGACAATCCTTTATGACCACGATGGTGTAATGTACTGTAGTATGACTGGTTTAGAACTGCACGATGGTCAGTATGTAGCCAGAGTATCAGCAATAAATACTGCATTCCTATCCAGTCAACCTGTATCAACAAATATTTCTGTGTCAACAATAGTTCCGAAAGTATCAGGTATGTTAATCGTTTTATTACTTAAAATACTTTGTCTTTTCTCGAGGAACATATAAACGTATATGACGTTCATGTACTAAGTAACAATGCAAGACTAATAGTACTGTAAAAGTTGTGTAAAAATGTTTGGAAATGTCCATTATCTATTTCATTTAGTTATTTGTTGTTTTTAATGCTCTTTTACATTGTAATGGATTTAATCTTCTGTTGTAATTGATTATAAGCCTGGTATCTTTAAATACTTGATTCTAGATTTATAAAAATTTAACAATACAAACATTTGATCCACATTTAGGGATCTTCAACATGTGTTACCATCTTATAATTCAACAAAAAAAGCATTTTCAAGAAATGAACAAACTAAGTGCAATACAAAAAGAAGACAAAAATCTACCACATATAGACATTACCCAGATATGAAACCAAAGCTTAAAAATTCATTAAAACAACCAGTGCATACTTGATACCCAGAACAATGATCTAAGCTTAATAAGAAGTTTAAGGGTAAATGGTAAATAAAGATGAAGAAAAAAATTAATGAAAATAACCGGGAAAAATATAATAAAAGATGACAACATGAATTAGATCAGGAGAACGTTTAGACTCGGGACCATTTAGAGTTTGACATAATGTATAGACACCTGTAGATTGTTGTAAACTTTATGATAGAAGTCTTTTTTTTAATCTACGTTTTGAGAATATTCCTCGTTAGCTCTTTTCACATATTGTAATGACAGTACTATAACATTATATGAAAACATAATAAGACAATGCATTATATATGTTTAGAAACAAAGTCCATCACAATGTCTAAAAAGAACAGAACTTTAACCATAAGCTGGGATACGTATTTTACCTCTGCATTTACCTTGTACTATGAAGTGTCTGTAGGGACAGCTTTAAATGGAGCCGATATTGTTCAGTGGCAGGAGACGACAAACGAATTTCTTGTGATGCATATCCCACTTCGGGTTAAATTCTACAGTGGAATGAATATCTATATTACAATAACAGCTTTTGGATTACATGGGCAACATACGACACAAAATGTTGCTCTGACTATGTAATAAAGTGATTTGTTCTATCTAAAGTGCGTTGGCACACAATTGCAGAAAATCTTGTAGATAGTCGTTTGCAAAAAGCATCTTCCCTAATAGTTTTGTGTGTTGCAATGGTATTTTCTATAACATATATTTATTATTTAGCTTATGTTATTATTCATTCCTTGTTCATACAAAAGAATCTTACATTGACAGATCTGCTTTCACTCTACTCCTAACTTAAATAAGACTGAAATATTTATATATCATACAAATGCACCCCTCCGACTTGTAATGCGCCGTTTTTTTGTTTGTTTTGTTAGATCATTCAAAATAGGACTTAAATCCAAAAAAAAACAGTTACTTTTATCTTCGTACAGTGTATTTATTGTATTACCTACATTCTCACATCTAAATAAATCCCAATGTTAAAACTCCTCAGTTTTTGTTTATCTCACCTAGCCTAAAAGGCCATGAGAGCTTTTGTCATCAACTGGCTACCGTCGTCGTAAACTTTTTAAACACACTTCTTCTCTGTAACTACTGTGCCAAATGATACCAAAACTGAATTGTCCTAAGGGTATTTAGTATGAAAATTGTATCTGGGTATTGGATCAATGTACAAACATGGCTGTGGTTGCTAAAAATAAAACATAGGGTAATATACAGTTTTTGGATTATATCTTAAAAACAAAATTAGTTAGAGAAAACCTGACAGAGGGTTATTATGATCAGAAGGTTAAAATCAATTTACTGCAGAATTTTTAGAAAATTCGACAACACATTTTGCCATTTGATATGGGACTTTCCTAGTTGAATTTTCCATGGAATTCGGTATTTTTTTATTTTAATATTTTTAGTTATTGCCCTTGAAATGTCAATTGATAGTTAAATCTTAATTTTTTTTTATATCTCAAAAACTATGGCAGTTAGAGCAAATTTGACATTGTGGAATTGATCAGCTGGTCAAGGTCCATCCCCAACAGAATTTTTCAGAAATTGGACAATCCATTTAGGAGTTATTGCCCCTGAAATGTTATCTTATTTTTTCAATTTCGCAGATTTTGGTTATTATCTTGAAAGCTATACCAGGAAAAGAGATTTGTTAACTGTGGAAACGATCTGAACAGTAAGATATACAAAAAAAGTAAAATAACAAAAAAACAAGAGGCTCTCAAGAGCCTGAATCGCTCACCTGTATTTCAGAGGAGAATATTTTTAAATGTTAGCAAACTTGATGAACAAATTGTGTAAAATTGTCTTTAAAGGGCAATAACTCCTTAAGGAGTCAATTGACAATTTTGGTCATATTAACTTTTTTTGTAGATCTTACTTTGCTGAACATTATTGCTACTTACAGTTTATATATATCTATAATAATATTCAAAATAATAACAAAAAACTGCAAAATTTTGTTAAAACTACCAATTCGGTAGCAGCAACCCAACAATGGGTTGTTCGATTCGTCTGAAAATTTCAGAGCTGATAGACCTTGACCAATTGAACAATTTTATCCCATGTCAGATTTGCTCTAAAAGCTTTTGTTTTTGAGATATATGCCAAAAACTGCATTTGACCCCTATGTTCTATTTTTAGCCATGGCGGCCATGTTTGTCGATGGATCAAAACTTCGGATACAATTTATAAACTAGATACCCTAAGGAATATTTAGTTAAAGTTTGAAGGTATTTGGCCCTGTAGTTTCAGAGGAGAAGATTTTTGAAATAGTTTACGACGACAGACGACGACAGACGACAACAGACGACGACGACGACAGACGACGACGGACGCCAAGTGATGGCATAAGCTCACATGGGGGCCTTCGGGCCCCAGTGAGCTAAAAACCGAACTCCGAGGCAAATTCAAAACGGAAAGTCTTAATCAAATGGCAAAAAAAAAAGCTCAAACACATCAAACGAATGGATGAAAACTGTCATATTCCTGTCTTGGTACAGGCATTTTCTTATGTAGAAAAAGGTGGATTAAACCTGGTTTTACAGCTAGCTAAACCTCTCACTTGTATGACAGTAGCATAAAATTCCATTATATTGACAACAATGTGTGAACAAAACAAACAGATCGACATAATAGGTAAAAATGTCAAAAATAGGGGTACAGCAGTCAACATTGTGTTATAATCTTAATTACCATAAAACAAACAAATATATCAAAAAAGAAAAACAAAAATTTACCATAGTACTGTAACAAAATTGGCGTCCATCAATTAGTGTTGTTTAGGATTTTTCGGATTTTCACGTATGTCTCATCAAGTGGATATATGTAGCGCCTTTCATGAATTTATTGTCGGTTCCCTGAAAGGAAACTTGTCCCCCCAAATTTGTGTGTTGACATTATTTTAATGGTACCGATACATTACTTTTGTTGTTATGTAGTTATTGTGTAAATATGGATAATTATGCTTTCGGTTATTGCTGAATTTACCTTTATTATTCATGCTCATGTGTGAAAATCCCAGCTTAAACATGGTTAACTTTTAAACTTTTATCATTCTTGGCCTTTGTTTTTATTTTCGGAACATCTCTCTATTGTTCGTTTCAATTGAAGTACACAAACGTTTTACCAAACACCCCGAATATAATTTTGATAATCACCAGTTCCGGTTTTGGTAATTTAGGTATTTTCCTAAATGGTAAATGGTAAACCAAAATGGTAAATGGTAAACCAATTCGGTAATTGGTTTACCTAAGTATAAATACGGCGGAACATTCACTAAGTCTTCAGCTCATATTTTACCCTGGGCAAGTAACTTTCGCTATTTCCAAGCGTTTTAATAAAAGAATTAATTACCAGTTACCAGACCAAGTCAGTAGAACCAGTTACCAAGCAGACGACAGATAACTATGTCTGAGGAGAATAGGTCCGTATATATTTTGGTTTGTTAATTCCTTTACGAGTTACACACGGAAATAACTTATTAAGTTAAACTTAATCTTTTGGCATTGAATTTAATTTACCCTTTGCCGATTACCAAACTACGTTTAGTAAACTTTCTGGGTACATATTTTTCCGCTATTGATTTTCTTTAATTCACGTTAGGAAGTTAATAATATATTTATCTATATAAGGTTATAATATTGTTAAGTTTTTTAATGTTTATCTGTATTGTTGATATTTAATGCATCTTAAAGTTAATATAAGATGATTTTTATTTAACGAGTCTGTTATCCTACAAACATAAATAAGGAGAGTTACATACAAAACACACAGACACTTTCACATACACATTTATAGTTTAATACTGAGGCCCGACCGCTCGGTTTTCAATACAGTGGTGGCAGCGGAGGGATGTACCTACATTTTTATATTTTTTCGATAAGTGTATCTATATTCAAGATAATGCATAAATAATTATAAGTAAAATGGATAGCGCGGAAAATAAATTTGAAACACCTAGGTTAACTGCCAAGGGTAGACCAGTGCTCCCCCGATCTCGGTCCTGTGGAATTTTCAATGATCTGACGCCGATCGGAGAGATAGGCATAAGAGTGAACCAAGATCAATGGCCCTCACAAGAGAATACGAATAGATACGACAAGGATGGTATTCATCATACTGACAATAGGCCATTGTCAGGCGATGTATCACCGTCGAGGAAAGTGGCCATTGAACAGAATTTTGTTGAAGAGTCAAGGACTCTTTTGGACCATGCTGCCAGAGGGTCTAGGTATGGGTTTTGGAGTCAGAAAGCAATGGATAATGCTGAGGGAGACTCCGGGAGTACAAGACGAGTCGCGACGTCTTGTGAATCCGATGCCCGACGGGGTAGATGGGATTCGGGAGATTTACCTAGAACTTTGGACCGCGGCGTACTCCATAATCAGGGGGCAACGTACCAAGCATTACCTCTGACGTCCCGCGGACGATTCAGAGTGGGTGTTAACGGGACCGACCATGAACACCGTACTGATGAAATAACCAGTAATTTAAATTATGCTGGCATTAGTAATGAACCAATTTTTGAGCGTGATTATATATTAATTTACAAAATACAAAATATTACAAAAAGAAACCAGCACTTTAGGATGGGGAGGGTAATTGGGAAGACTATTTAGTTCAGTTAGAATTAGTTGCAGCAATTAACAAATGGTCTGACATAGAGAAAGCTTTAGAACTAGCTACTAGCTTAAGAGGTACCGCCCAAAGTATTTTAACCGATTTAAGACCAGAGATGCGGACCAATTTTATACAACTGGCAGCCGCCTTAACCAGAAAACCAAGCAGTAATGTACAGGGCGCAAATGAAAAGTAAAATACGCGGACGCACGGAACAAATACCTGTGTTAGGCCAAGACACAAAACGTCTAGTAAGATTAGCGTATCCATCAGCTCCAATGGAGGTTAAGGAACATTTAGCACGAGATTGTTTTATTGATTCCCTAATTGATGCTGACATGGAATGGGCTATTTTCCAGGCCAAAGCAAAAAATATTGATAACGCCATTCAAGTAGCTCTTGAATATGAAGCCTTCCAAAATTGCAGACGTAAACACGACAATAAGCCAGTACGTGCTGTAAATGAAAATGATAATTTTGATTTAAATAGGGAAATTTATTTGTCTGAACAAGTTGATGACATTTCAGGTCGTCTTGCAAAAATAGTAAATCTTTATGATGAAAAAATAAGAAAACTTTTTCTTGTTACCATTGTGGGGTTTCCGGTCGTTTTAAAAGGGAATGTCCCTATTGAATAAAGTAACAGACCTAACAACTCATTTCCAAGAAAAATGTGGCAGACCAAATGACTGGTGGGGGAAACTATTAATTGTTGAAACTGAGGACCAAGCTTTAGCTGAGACTAATTATGATTTTGAAGAGTCCAAAAATTTTGAGAAATTGAGTCAGATAAAATCAACCAATTCTGATAGCTTATATGTAATTGTCAATGATTTTGACATGAAATTAAATTGTTTGATTGATACCGGGTCCACTGTAAGTGTCCTTAACTAATCCATGTATAATACCATGTCCAAGAGTGTAAAGCCAGAGCTATCCAATCAATGTAGTGGTTTACGCATGGCTAACGGAAGTGTAGTTATGCCGATGGGGACTACTGTATTTCCAGTACAGCTGAATAGAAAAATTGTTTATCACCGTCTCATTGTTGCAGACATAGATATACCAATGATAATTGGATTTGATTTTTTAAATAAAAATAATTGTATATTAGATATGAGAAGGAGAACCGTAGAAATTGACGGACAACTTATCACCTGTCAAAGGGAACATTGTTTAAATTCTATATTTAAAATTTCGTCTGTTGAAGATGTAGAAATTCTTCCCACTTGTGAAATGATTGATCAGGGAACAATATTACAGGGTACTCCACATAAAGTAACTAGGTTAATTGAACCGGCAGGCCCTTTTCTCACCGAAAATGTCTTATTGCCAAGGCAGTGGTAAATCCTAGTCGGCAGTACTTA